TTGTTCTTTGTAGTAGAAAACGATGTCGTTTCGAAGGTGCAACGTATTCTTCCTCATGTGGGACTTTTGAACCTAGCCACGTGCATGGTTCTCCGGCGTCGATTGCTCATTGCTTCCTTGTGAGGTGGATGTTCTCGACATGATATTGATAGTGTTGAATATTTATTTCTGTATTCATTGACATGATAGTGATGATTATTGTTTAGAAAAAAGAAGAAAAAAAAGAATATAACAAAAGAGAAATGAATGTGTTAATTTTTTTTGAGTTTCGAGCGGATCTTGTATTATGATTTTGCACAGAATGTTATGATACTGATCCATTGCACGCGTTGAGTTTGTTTTATGCTCACTATTACAGTATTAGTGTATTACAACTTCGGAAGCATCTCAAGACATATAAACTCGTGTTATAATTTGTAGTATATATATACTGAAGTTCAAGTCTACTTCGATCTCGATTGTTTGTTTGTGTTTTCACTTACATTAAAATAAAATGCATTTGATTTAAGCAACATTCATTTGTTATATTTGTAGACGTAAAGGCCAACAAAAAGTGTTTCTTTGCGTTTACATTTTGCAAAACTAATTTCTACAGTAGTGAAAATGTATATATTTCAGAGTTTTTTGAATTTTCTTTTATGAAAGCCTTAGAATTTAATATGAAACAATCAAAGCCTTAGGAAATTTGTTTTTGTGTGTTTTGCTTAAGTAGAAATGATGTCATACAAATACATGATAGTATTCTAGTGATTCACTATAGGATTAATTAGATAGATGACTAAACATTTTGAAAACGCAAGAGCGTTGCATCTTCACATTTGTTCAAATTAAATTCACAAAAAAAAATCACATTTGTTCAAAACTTGCAAAAAATATGAAGGTTCAAGTTTAAATAAAGACTATTTTTTTGCGAGAAAATCTAACGAATAATGTGGATCATGTAAAAATAATGTGTCATACAAAAATAATGGTGTGTCATCTAAAAATAATGTACTAAATATACATAAAATTTAGGAGAAAAAAGGGAGTCCTTTTTGCCTATTTTGATTAATTTTTTTTTCGCCATCTACTGTATTATACTCAGTGTATTGGTTGAAGTTATAATACAGTAATAGATTATTAGATTTTCACTCGGTTTACGCACTTAATTTTTAGCTAACAAAAGGCATCTAAAAAGACCCTTAACCCAATATATTATTTTATGAGCTTTTTGTTATACACTTCTTTCAGTTTTCATATTAAATTTTTAAGATGGACCAACAATTTGAGTAGACAATATTGGAACACTGGAGAACATGTTGCAAACATGTACTAGACTGAGACTACTATTAAAAACGATACTTGACTATTTTGCTGAATTCATATACAGATAAATAAGTATCAAGATAACATCATGATACAGAGCGTTGTATGGTTTTTCTAAAAGCCAATAAGCTCTTGTGGTTAATACTCTCAATCCACTAATAATCTCACAAGTTTTTTCATGCTGGGGACAAAAATATGTTAAAAATAAGTTTTTTTTTTGTCAAACTGTAGAATCATTTTTAAATAGGAATCTTATGCTACTGTTTAAGTTGTACATGTTACTATTTTTGTAATTTTTAGAACTGAAAGTTCAATTACTATTGTTTTCTTTATTGGTCTCAAAACTGAAATTTTAATTATAAATTCTAAATTGTACATTGGGGGAACTTGTAAATGTTCAGGGCTTTATTATTATGTCGAGATCAGTGAATTGTCTCTTCTGGTAACTGAATCAATTGATTTTTATGGTTAGTCTATCAATCAGACACTTGAGAACCCCAAAAGATGATCTGAATAATAGATCCGGAAATCCTCCACTATTCTATTTCATTATCACTTTTGTAAATAATAAATTTGAAGATGGATTTTAAAAGCAACAAACAAAAAAAAGTAACAAGAGGGAGAGAGAAGTAGCTAGGTCAAATCTTCATTTGAGTGGTTATCATCTCTGCCTAGACTTTAGACCCAACACTTTCTCAGTCGAGCTACTTCTCAGGTCAACAATTTCGCACCATCTCTCTCTCTCTCCTCTTTTATTTTGAAAAAGATAATAAAAGAGAAATATATTGATACTAACGTAAATTATTTGACATGTGTCTCAAGTTAATATGATCCATACATGTAGTAGTTGTCTTGTAACTTGAACGATTGATAACTGAAATCTGAAAATATCAAATCCCCCCAAAAATGAAATTAAAGTAACGAGGCGAGAAGAAAAGAAAAAAACTAAAAAAATATGAGTGGAGGAAGAAGAGGACACGATGGTTAGAGCTTGTAACGAACGCAAAATTGAAGTGGAGAAGTTACAGAAATTTATGAAACGCGTAAAGATGTTTGTTTAATGATGTGTTTCACCACAAGCATCTCTCTATCTTTCTCACACAACCCAAAAACCAAATTGTCATAACTTTTGTTGAATATTCAAATCCACATTTAATATCCACCTACTTGTTACAAATTTATATGATCAAACAAAAATCTTTTCATTCGATGATATATCTTAGTATACTATAATGAAAATGTAATTTAGACCAAGACCATCTTGGTGTTTAATTTTAGGCTTTGACAGATGGCTCGTCTCGTGGCTCTACTCTTTTTTATTTCTGCGAGCTTTCTTCTGCTTTTCGTTTGAGCATGTGCTTCGAAGACCACATGGTCTCTGCTAAAGCTCATTCCATTTGTTTTTTTTTGTTTTTTTTAATGAATGAATAATTTAGTATTTTTACGGATTTGTTATGTACTATCCATTGGAAGGAAGCTAAAAGTATAAGTTAAAGTTAAACTACAATTTTTAAGGAAACATTTTTTTGATGGAAATAGATATTTTGTCACTGTTCAAACAAATAAAACCCTAATTTTCCAGCAGCAAAAAGAACGTTTTTCACAACAACTTTGAAAACAAAGTCTTGTCTTTTGAAAAATGAAACTTTACGTAAATAACTTTACAATTAAATAATAATTCAAACTCGTTAAAACATAACTAAAATTTTGGCAACAAAAGCATTGGATTTTGTTTTTTTCTTTTTTGTTTAAATCGATATAAATCTTGTTTCAATTGAACTATAGAGGTATGAGATTTCTTGAAAACAAAATTTTATTTCATATGAGATTTTTGGAAATGTATCGAGAAGATTAAAAAATGATAATTCTAAATCTTTTGAAACTCTATAAGAATCTACTATCAGAATTAAGTTTTATGCTTAAACATGATATATGTTGATAATTTTTTTTTTTTTTTTTTTTTTTTAAATGATTGTATGTTGATATAATATTTTGTTATTGATAACTGAAAATTATCTAGTTTGAGAGAACACAATTGGTAAACATGCAAACAAATCTAATAAACAAAGTTTGGCAACTAACCACATTGTCGAACCTCATAAATAGATGTCATTTCATGTTCTCTGTTTTACGCCCATTAATCCGGTAACTATTTTTTACTCTCTTGTTTTCGTATTAAAAAAAAATAATACTATGATTTTTGAACTTTTTAAAAGTTTGTGTTCGGGCTTTTGTTAGGTGACTCTGGTCAGTTGTTGTGGTGGGATCCAAAAACTCTCACTTGCAAGATTTGTCTAATAACCTTAAATAAATACTATGTCACTCGTTTTGGTCGTTTGTTAACTCATGTATTAAATCCAAAATTAAATAATTCTAGTCAACAAAGGAATGCATTCTCTAACAAAAACAAGTACTAAATTATTCAGTTGACTTAGCACTCAAAGTCTATTCTCAATTCACACAAGTATACATATACACAGACTGATAAACATATATGAAAAAACATTCTTCGTGCTGGCCATTATCTAATTTGTTGCCGTCCAAAATCTAAAACTTTCAAGTGGAGCCAGAATTTGGATATAGTAGTAAACTAGTAACTAGTAACTTGTGCTTAATCAAAAAAAAAAAAAAAAAAAAAAAAAAACTTGTGCTTAATCTCGATTAAATTTTTTGCTTGAGGATGTAGGTGACAAAATAAATTTGAACATTGATTCAAAATATTAGATTATGTGAATAATGAGAATTTAAATAAAAAGGTAAAAGCAATCTGATATGCTGAAGGTATAAACACATAAAATATAGGTCAGGAAGATAAATTAGCACTGTCAGATTTCATATATATTTTCTTGGAAAGTGAAATAGCAGAAAGAAAAAGTAGTGAAAATGAGAAAAATAAATTAATGGACCAGTGACTGACAAGTCACTTCCAAATGCGCAAGTGAGGAAATTTTCCATTACTTTTTATAAATTTTAACTTTTAAGTTTGTTTTTTTAATTATTAATATTTTCGCTAGAGTACGAAAATTGCATACAATCTCTAAAATTTCATGTATATTAGGGATGGACAAAAATGATTTGAAAATTTCAATTTAGTTTTTGATTCATGTTGAGTTTTTAACTTTTAATATAGTATGATTGATACTATTAGAATGTTTTTGCAAGATACAGTAGTTATGATGATACAAATCTAACACATCATAATTTGTCCAGGAGAATCTACCCACCTCCTTTCCTAATAAGTAAATATGATCAGTACAAAGTAAGTCTATAATTTGATGTGTTGAGTAGTTGGCAAACAAAAAGCTAAGTAAATTCAGCAACATTTTATTATAGAGTCATTAATTTGTAACATTTACTTCTTTTTATAATTTTTGGAAGCAAAATTTTAAAACTTGTTACTACTAAGAGATTATTTTCTTGACGTTTTATACTAAGAGAATTCAAAAAAATATAAGAACACATTTGGAGCTGTGTGACAAAATGAAGACGACAGAGATATGTAATAAATATATATATTCACTACCTCCATATATTTTTTTCAATTCTCAAGGTGTCAGGATTCACATAATGATCCATCACTATACAAAGGCAAAAACTAGACCCTTCACTAATCTGAGACTCTCTGCCACAAGATTTATCTGTTTTTGTCATCATCATCTTCATTTTAAGCTAATTTTACAAAATAACCAAAAACCCTAATTTCATAATTTTTAATAAAAATTAAACCTAATCGCTAATCTTCTCCCGTTGTTCCTTAATTGAAGTCAAGCTATCAATCGATTTCTCCGACATTGAATCGCTTGAAATCCTTGAAAACAAATACGAATCTACAAAAACAAAATTGTCATTAGCATTTTCTTCATAATTAACCTTAAAACTAAACAAAAATGATCCAATTACAGAATTTCTAATTTACCTTCAGACGAAGAAGTACTAAGTTTCTCTTGTGAAGAAGATTCACTCGTTGATCGTGATAACAAAGAAGATTCTGAAAATCAATAATAAAAACCCATAAAGATTAACCAAAAAACCCAATAATCAAATTTGAGAAATTACAGAGTAAGACTCTTTTTTTTTTTAAAGACTCTGTTTTTGAACATACCTCTTGAGCCGTGAAACGATCTCTTGCAATGAAGAATCGCACTTTGAATCCCATCTTGTTGAACTTGTAAAGACTCATCAACTCTGTTCGCCGGAGACATTCCTCCGATCGCTGCAGAAGCTGACCGACTCTTGCCAAGTTGTCTCCTCACACTTCGAATCCCCGACGGAATATTACTTCTCTGTTTCTCCCTCACCGCCGGTGAAGACATCGGAGATGTAATCGACGACGATGAACCATTACTGCTTTGTTTCTTCAACGATTTAGTGTATAAAGGTTTTATAAGACTGAAGAATCTCTTCGAAACAGAGTCGTCCAACATCGTATCGTCTGTTTGTTGTGATCTCGCAATGCTCGCTGTTTTTCTGAAACTTGTTGTTGTTGATTCGTCGTCGACTCTGAATCTTACGTTGAGACTTCTGTTGTTTTCTTCGTTCTTCTTCTCAGTCGTCGTTGACTTTTCAGACTTCTTGAATGAGAAAGCACGAAACTTTGGACCGGATTTCAAAAGAGTGATCGGAGATTGTTGTTGTGGTTTCGAAGTGATGTCGACGAAAGGAAGGACTTTGCTTTTGTTAGAAACAGAGAACGTTGTTGATGTTGTTGTTTCGAGTCTCTGTTTTTCTTTAGGAGTTTTGAAATCGGAGAGAGAGATCTCGAGTTCGAAGAAGGAATCGTCTCCTTCGTAGAGGTCAAGTTCGGGATCTTCTGATGCGGTGGTGGAATCGACGGCGGATTCTGAGATTCTGATTTCATGGCGAGGTTTGATGGTTGTGTTGTTGTTTGTTAACCAGAATTTCATAAAGCTAAGAGCTTCCATTTAGATATAGGTAAAGAGATAGAGAGAGAGTAATGAAGCAAGAAAGAGAGATAAGAGTAAAGAGTTTGGCTTTGTCAACGGAAATGGTGAAGTGGGGTTTTATATATAGAAAGGAAGAAGAAGAAGAAAGAGAAAAGTGAGCTTTTTTCGGAATGGTTTTTTTTTTCTTTATCTTTTTTTTTTTTTTTTTTTGGTAAAGAAAGAAAAAAGAGAGTATGAAAAAATGGCATTTTAATTTGCTTTTTTCTCTTTTTTCTTTTTCTTTTCCTTTGCTTTCTTTTTTTCTAATGCACAGGTTAATTTGTTCTATATGTTGTTTTTATTTATTTAGCATTCTATGCCATAACTCACATATGATAGTAGCTTTTTCTTTAGGCTAAAGTACTTTTTTTTTTCTTTTTAAATACGTTAATTTATAATATCTGGACTATTCATATTTATAAAAATTTTAAAATAATTTACGTTTTTCCTTTTCTTAAAACTAACTCTTTCTCATGTTGTAAACATTTATGTCTTATTATATACTAGGTTATTAACCCCCGCTACGCGGGGGTTTGTATTTAACGATTTTTAAAATATTTTTGGGTTTAGTAATCATTTAAGTAGCTACATATCGACATTAGTAATATAAAAATATTATAATAATTTATTTTTGATTCTTTTTAACATAAATATTTTTATTTATATTTTGAGTTTCATTTATGTTGTTTAAAAATTTGTTTTCATAAGAAAGGAAACATTTTTAGGATACAATTTAGTATGATTGTGTTGTATTTTTCTGACTTGTTTTATATAATAAATTATTTTGCTATTAGTAATTATAAAAATATTTTGGCAAAATATTAGAAATTAAACTACCAAAATATGTACACATTTGGGTATACTTTTGTTTCTCTTATCTATTAGTAAAATATGTACACGTAACATATCTTCTATGTTTGCATTTATTTTATATATTTTGATGAAATTATATACCACTAATGATAGTTACTAAAATATTATCTTTCTTTATTTGGTTTTTGCCAAAAAGACTTTTTTACATTTTTTTATTACATTATCTTATACAATAAAATATTTTTAATATGTTTTCTAACAAACATATAGGAGACACAAAGTGATGATAATATATTATCACTTATGTTCGAAAAACTTTAAGAACTTAGTTTTCTCCCCAGCTCTCCGAACTTGGAGAGCAAATTTGTAAGATTTTTAAATACAACCATCCACCTGCTTTTCAAATCTTTTTTATTTTATGTTTTTATTACTTTATCTTACACAATAAAATCTTTCCAATATGCTTTCTAACAAAAAATCTTTGGTTTAGGTGGCACAAAGTGATAAAATGTTCTTTCTTTTGTTTGAACAACTTGAAGAACTTAGCTTTTCCTACCTCTCCCAATTTTGAAAACAAATTTGTACGATTTTAACTACAATCATCGACATGCTTTTTTCACCTCATAAGAAATCATCGTTGTAGTTTTAACATGTTAAACTCAATATATTCTATCACTATTGAGAGAATAAATATTAGGTTTTTGTTTGTTTCGATAATGTATTATTATCAGAAACTTAGATAATGCGTACAATTTTACCATTGATTTTTGTTTTTTATTATATCAATTAATTCACTCACTCATTTCTACTCAAGTATATAAAAAAGACTTAAAATTTTAGTGATGTAAATAAAATTACTAATTGATATTTAAATGAAATTGAAAAAAATCCAATAGGCTTACACATGTTACGTATCTATTTAATTGTATACTTCTTTTTTATTTAATTTTTATCTCCGGCTGAGACAGAGTGAAAGGAGGTCTAGCACCGAAGTGTTTATGAGTCTCCCATCGACCATGGATGGATTCTAAATCGGGCTGAACCACACTCTTACCTTGATGATTGATGACTGACGACTTTTACCTTGACATTAATAAATTCCGACTTTTCCACACTCTCCTCACACCATAAATTCAGTTGTGTTCCCCTTCTTATAAATCAAATATCAAAAACCAACGCCCAAAAAAAAAAAAAAACAGAGCCATGTTCGTCAAGTTCCTCATTATCATGTTCTTCAGCTTCCTTTCCCAATCCCATAATTACTCTTCCCAAATCCTTGAATTCACTCACTTACAATGGCTTCCATCCTCCACTGACTAACATATCCACCCAAGGGATTGTCACAGTCACATCCAACGGTATCTTGAAGCTAACCAACATAGGCATGCAGAGAACCGGTCACGCTTTCTACACCAAACCAATCCGGTTGAAAGATTCTCCAAACGGCAATGTCTACACAAGTTTTTTGGATTAATTCTGCATGCATAGAAGCTGTATGTACCATCGTAACTTAATAAGCCATGTTTGAATTTTCAAGAATAAAATATTTGATCTCTCAAATAGCAATGATCCATAAGATGATTATTTATACATAAACCACTACTTTAGAATTTAAAAACTTTCTTATTTTCTTTGGTTGTTAAGAAGAAGTTTTCCTTTATGTTATTAATCTTTTCTTATTCGTTTAAATTTTAACTTTCTTAAACTTTTGGAATTTTTCTTCTCTGATGTTTAATTATAAATTTTACAAACTAAAACTATTAATACTAACAATAACTTATTTGCTTTTTTTTTTTGGTTTTGAAAATTTTCTTTTATTAAAGAGAGGTAAACATGTCTATGTGAGTTTAATTTTCATGTTTACATGTACTCTCTCCAATTTCAATTAACTACATTATTTTACAATTATTAATTTTTTTAATATAGTAACTTCAAGCTAACATAGTGAGCCTAATTATAATATTATTATTTTTTTATATATTCTAATAATTTAATTTTACATTTTCTTTATATCCATATATTGTTTTTCAAAAGTTTACATTTCTATTCTTTACATATCTATATTTTTTCCTTTTCAGATATATCTTAATATAGAAAATATTATAATTTAAAAATGTTAAATAACGCAATTTTAAAAATGCTAATTAATGAAGTGTCTAATCGCGATTGGTCGTTTAAAATCCCACGTGGACGGCCTCAGAAGCTTATAGCCTCGACTTTTATATAGACAAAAGTTTACATTTCTATTCTTTACATATCTATATTTTTCCTTTTCAGATATATCTTAATATAGAAAATATTATAATTTAAAAATGTTAAATAACGCAATTTTAAAAATGCTAATTAATGAGGTGTCTAATCGCGATTGGTCGTTTAAAATCCCACGTGGACGGCCTCAGAAGCTTATAGCCTCGACTTTTATATAGTATAGATTATTATTTTTGTTTCCTAAATCGATATAAATTGAATAAGAAAATATCCTATTAGTATTTTCTTACGTCAAATTTTACGAAACTAATAAGAATTTTTAACAATAAAATTGTAAGAAAAAGGACAAACATGGAAGAAAAAAACCTCTCGTAACATACTTTCTCTTTGGACCTTTCGGGTAAAACGAGAGATGCCATGCATGCTCAACTGGAAGCAAAAGCGAAAGAGCGACTCGTGGTTTGACCGCAACATGATCTTCAAAACATGGTTTTGAGTTTTCTTCAACCTTAAATTTATATCCGTAATATCATATAAATTTCAATTAATTGTTTCTAATCTTAATAAATTTGTATCGCTAATATATTCTAACAACACCAAATATAGGTAAAAAAATGCTCTTATATTCATAAACTATAGTTTAAAAAACGTCAAATTGACTCTTACTAATAAATTACCAAATAAGATAGTAAAAACCTGGGGGGACCTTACCCGTGGGATACCCTCTCCCCAGGGATTAGTCCTACACCCTTTCATAGGTATGGGGATTTACCCTGAGTTAACAAAAAAAAAAAAAAAGATAGTAAAAAACAAGACAAAATGAAGAACAGAGAAATAAATAAATAAGAATGACAAAAAGAAACATTTACTACACAGAAAAAGAAGAAGAGTTTAGCTCTGTGAGGTCTGAACTCTGACCTTAAGTGTATAAAGATAAATTGGGGTTCTTTCCATGACAAAAGTATAGTTGGCCCATTTTACATACTTCAATTTTCCTTTTGTCTCTACTCTTAAAGAATAAATTGTTATATACTAGTATAAATTTGTTATGATGTATATCAAAGGTTTATAACCTCAAAAGCTTTGACTTGAAAAGCTCTTTCTTTTGTGAATTTCAAAATTTTACACCCTCTTTCACTTTAAAGTTTAAAGAACAGTTTGCTTTTAACTTTTCTTTTTTTTGTTAAACACTTTGTTTTGAACTTTAATACAAGTAAGAATCAAAAACATTAGTTTTTAATAAGTTATTCATTAGGCTAACTCTGTTTTATACTTTTTGATGTCTTCCCAACTTTGTTTTTTTTTTGTATATCGATTCGATTTTCAGCTTCTAAATTTGTTCTACTATTGTTGATTTTAATGCAGCAAAACAATGAACCAACAATTCCAAAACAATTAAAGTTCTATTGGTTACATGCATTAAAAGCATTCTTTACTAAGAATTTTGTTAATACTTGGCTGTAGTTAAACTATATAATAGCTGGTGACATAAAAAGAAAAAGGAAAACTATATAGTAGTATAGTTTTTCTTTATTTGTTGGTTTTGAATTTTGACTATACAATACAGTAGTTTTCTAAGGATAGCATTGAGCTATACCGACTAAAGTGCTTATACTGTTAGACCTAAATATGATTAATAGAACAATACAAAAGTTATGCCTACTCATACGTTCGTAACTACATCCACGCAATTGTCATGGAATGTGTGTATGCATCATCACATTAATAGAATTGTTAATTAGGAGTAAAAAAAAAAATTGTTAATTAGGAGTTGAACGAATTTTTATGTTTTGGTCTATAAAAAGGTGCTTACAAACATTTAGAACATAAAGAAACTTGAAGATATAATTCAATAGTAGCTCTTTACCTTAAGAAAATGTGCTTCATTAAAAAGACCCTAATGTTAATGGTTTCCACGACTAATTATCATTAGGTTACTTATAATATGTATATAATAAACATTGTGTAGACTTCCATTTATTTACACTTTAGCTTACTTAACTTCCTCAATATTTTAAACATATAATAAATAAGTTCATCCTTTTTTCTCCAATCTCTGATAGACAATATGAGAGATTGGAGACTATCTGGCGTGATAAGCATACTTCTCATGGGGAAATAGACCGTTTTTCCTTGTTTCAAGCATTAACTAACTTTTGTTTCTACACAAATAGGCTATAACTATAAGCCTCTAGCATTCTTGAATCTTGATAGGGCCAAATGGTCCGATTAGGCACCACAAGCCCATATTGGGCCGAAATATATTTCTCTTTAGTGATGATTTACAAGTGATGTATGAATGTTTTGTTTATACGTAAGAAAGTTTCCATAGTCGTCCAGGAAAGGCTTCATCGTCTGATTCGCTTTCATCATCAGAACTCTCTATCCCCAGTAAATAGTTGACAACCTGTGAGGTAACAAAACCACCAAAAGCAGATGAATAACTTTCTCAGCAAGTAGACAAAACGCGACGAACATTTCAAGGGAATAGCTTACCTGGTGAGTTGATATGAGGTCGAGTGGCTTGTTGCCTGATTTCAATCGACATTGTTTGTTTGCACATCTCAAGTCGTCGTGCCAAACAATAGAATCACAGTAACTGCAGTATCCCCGGCCAGATCTCAACGCCTTTGATGAATTAGCCGCTGCACGGTTACACAAAGTCTACTTTAGAAATTACATAATAGAGAAAGCGGCGGTTTCTGAAAGGGAGAAGATAAAACCGTGGACAAAAGCCCTAACCGATAAATGCTTTCTTGAAGGCTTCTCTCCAGTCAATACCGGACTGAATACGAATCAAGACTTTTTGATTGAAGTGAAGGTCAAATTGTGTTTGCCACAGAGAGTTCTCATGCGTTGCTTGGTTCCATGAGCTACAAACAGACGAAACACAACAGATAAGTAGAAGCAAAAAAGAAGAAGCAAAAGACTCTGCAATGTGGAAATATAGAGGAGGAAGTACCGAGACACTTGAGCTGAGGAAAGTAAGGACGATACATCGAGGAAACTGAAGATGTGAATAAGGATATCTTGTGGAAGTGAAGGAATATCTGAAAAAAGGGATTTACACATGGTGAAGGATTATCTCGGGATATTAAAGAAGACATTCCAAGAAAGATAACTAGAAAACATACCTATATCTTTTTCCTCATGGCTCTTACTGCGTCTCTTTAGTGCTACTTTTGCCTGCTTGAATTCTACAATGGCTAAATTCTTCTTCTGTTTGGGGAGCACAGCTTCTACGCTCTTCAGGAGAAGGTTAGCGGCTGAAACAGCAGCTGATGTATTGATGCTAAATGAAAAAAAAATACAGAATCTGTTAGTAGTATTAGTCTTAATAGACTTAGAAGAAGAACACAGATTTGCAATAGTAGAAACAGAGAGATACCAACAATCTAAGAAGTTTGTGTGCTATATGAATTATGTACTCTTAAGTAGCCTTATTGTCACACTAAGGGCTCAAATTCGATTGTTCCAATCCAAGAAAAAACTTGCCTTTACGTTTACATTACTAAAATCTGGATACTTATATTAACACTGAAACAGAACATTCTAGCTTTTCTTACAATTATTTTTTGTAAATGAGAAATGCAAACAAAGAGAATCAGTGAATCCCATAATCTATTGACATGAAATAAAACCATTAGAAGAACCAATCCCCAACTAGACTTAATCCTCTGCTTCATGGTTGGCGATAGTCCAAGAAAATTCCCACCTTTGGTTCGATATTCGGGACTTTTAATCAACAGATACAAGAACCATAACATTGAATTATCTGCTGATATTCAGCACAAAGCAAAGTTGTATAACACTAGAAATGTTTGTGTTATTCAAAAAAAAACACAACATTCTACATTTCTAATTTGTTTGCAAATTGTATATGCAAATAAAAAGACTCAAGCTAATTTGATTGGCACAAAGTAAAGCCATTCAAAGATCAATCTTCTGCTTCATGGTTGGCTAGCAACCTTAAGAATTCAGCTACAACAGATGAACAAAATCTCAACACAGAACAACCCTAAACTAGAGCCTCAAAAGAACCCTAAATACTCGCAATTGAGATGAATTTAGTACTTACTCGGGAAGAAGACGAAAAGCGGAGAGGGTATCACGAAAGATCAAAGCTTTGACATTTTTGGGTAATCGAGAGTAAGCAAGATTCAAAATGGAGCTTAGTTCATTGCAAGCAAATGGGTAAAGACGATTCTTCGAGAAAGCTTCTTCTACCATTAGATTTTGGTATCTCTCCATTTCTCCCTTTTTCTGGGATCAGAAAATCATCGTCGAGGTTCTTTTTCTTTGTATCGGTTTTCTGTAATTTACTCAATTCCAAATCAAACCGGAGCCGGTACAATACATGGTTTGGTATAGTTTTGGTTTTGGTTTCATTGATTTTTTTTTTCAATTTAATATTAAATTATATTCAAAAGAAAAAATAACATTGTCACAACTAGTGCATCATGAATTTGAAAGAGTTAAAAGCTAAAATTTTAATTGAGTTTGCTAAGACTTAGGGTCGGCTTTGAAGCCAAGCTTGGAAGCAGGCTTCATATCGACGGACGACGCTTTAGTCTTCAGATGGTTGTGATCTGATTTCTAAGTTGCGAATCGATCCATTTGATTAGTTGGCCTGCATTGTTCGGTGTTTCACTGTGTCTCCGTTCATTTCTTTTCATTCGATTTCTAGTTCAAATATATGAAATTTCTATGTAACAAGACTCAAAACAATCACAATATTTATATAAATATGTTTACTACATTAACTAACACATTCACAATGACATAAATATGAACATATAAAAAAAATCACAGTTTTGAGGAAAATTCTATAAAACCCAAAAAAGAAAGAGAATAAGATGAACCTAAGAAGATTATCTAAAAATGGAATGGCCTAAACAAGTAATTGAAGACTCTTTCTTTGTGATATGCCGGATCTGTTTGTCATATATATATCTTGTGTATCAAGAAACATACATTCACTTTTTTGCAAATTTCAGAGGAAGTAAGTGAGCTGTTCTTTTTTCCTTGAGCCTCCTTCTCCATACAAATCATTCCATTGTTTCAGCTCATTCATTCCTGCTCCTTCTGATGCAAAACTCGCAGCTACCTGCAATAACACAACAACAGATCTAGTTAGGGTTTTTAGTTTTCTTGTCTTTTCTTGACAAAATGGGATAAGATGTTTGTTAGACCTGGTTTTTAGCTTTTCTCATGTCTTCCATGTTCAAAGGTCTCAATGTAATAACTCTCTCCTCAGAAGCTTCTGCTTCTTCTTCTTTTGGTTCTTCCGTGCTTTTTCCTGCTTCTTCTCTCTTCTTCCTCTCCTAAAACCACCAAGAAGTCTCAAGACCCGTAGAGAATTTGATCAATATCGAGTGCAAGCAATAGAGAGGGCCTTTTTTAGTTTTTTACCTGATCTTTCAATCTTTCCTGCTGAATCAGCTCTCTAACTGGTCTATACGCAGCTGTAATGCATAAGTTCTGTTTGTACAAAAGTTTAACACACAGTCAGTGTCCAATGATTTTACACGACAGTCTTTGGTTATGGTTAGTGAAGACACAGACCTTGAGATCACTTCCACTGTAGCCTTCTGTCATCTGTCCAAGCTCATGGAAATCAAGATTCTCTGTTTTCTCTTTCAACAACAATGTTCTCAAGATCTTCTCTCTGCTCTCAATCGAAGGAAGTCCCACCATTATTCTGTTATATCCAACACAAAAGAAAAATCAGTCACAATATATTCATTAAGACTGATTTAAAGCTTTTTGCATTTTCCAAAATTTGGTTAGTACCTTCGCTCAAACCTCCTAATGATAGCTTCATCAAGATCAAAGGGTCTGTTTGTCGCTGCAAGAACGAGAATCCTTTCACCGGGTTTCGTCATTAGCCCATCCCAATGCGTCATAAACTCATTCTTAATCTTCCTCATAGCTTCATGCTCTCCAACTCTTGTCCTTTGTCCCAACATACTATCAACTTCATCCACGAATATAATCGTTGGAGATACTTTAGCTGCTAAAGTAAACAGAGCTCTCACGTTTTTCTCGTCTTCTCCAAACCATTTCGAAGTGATTGTAGACATAGAGACATTGATGAAACTAGCTCCAGCTTCATTTGCAATTGCTTTTGCAAGCATTGTTTTGCCAGTACCTGGTGGACCAAATAATAGGATTCCTCTACATGGCTTGAGAAGACCGCCTTGAAAGAGATCCGGTCTTCGAAGTGGAAGCATTACAAGTTCTTGAAGCGAATCTTTTGTTTCGTCTAGAGAACCAATATCTGCAAATGTCACACCAATCTCATTTGCTGGTATAACTTCTGGTCTTATACGCTTCTCAAACTCATTATCAGGAATAACCTCAGGCGCTTTTGGAGGCAATGGATTGTCATTCTTGTTCGAAGGAAGCGATATTTCTGACTCGTTTTTGTTTTCAGGACCAGATTTTGACTCACTCTTTGAACATACTTCTCCTTCTTTTCGCTTAGAGTCAGTATTTGTGTCTAGCTTCAAGGAGTCTTCGAATGATCTGTTTCCACCTTCTTGGAATATACCAAGTCCATGAGACAAACTGTTTCAAGATCATGAATCAGTTAAGTACCTGGAAGATCAGTCAGTAACTGCGAATGAATAAAATAAACAGATTCTTGTGCTTACCTTTTGGAAGATATTACAAGCTTTCCGTTTCTGTATTCCGGTTCTTTAGTGTGTATCAAATGATAAGTGATTGCAGAAACCACAATTTCCTCAATGTGGTTACTCAAACACATTGTATCTGCGTGGCATATTGAAGCTAAGTCATCGCATTGGATATCATTAGCAGCAAGAACCTCTGCAATGTGGTTCTTGTTGTCTTGAAATTGAATCATTTTCATGTCATCTTCTAACCGAGATTTCCAGCTCACGAGCTGTGATTCATCCTCTGGTGGTCTGATCTCGATGTTGTAAGGAAATAGAGCGGAAATCCCTTCGCCTACTTCTTGGCAATCATCTTCGGGTTCTAATACTCTTGAGCCAAGAATCAAGACAGGACCAGAGAGCTTGTTCAAGAGCCTCTGGAACAACTTGTAGAATCTTTCTGACTCAAGAAGCTTCTCAACATCTCTCAAGTATATTATTAGCGGAGTTGTTTCCGATACAGACACCAAGACCTGCAAGAAGACCACAATTATAAAAAATCCAATGAAAATTTGTTTAGCAAACTTGTGAAAAAGTTTTTTCAGTACCTTGTAAAGTGACTGCAGGAAAAGTTTCTCGTCGAAACATAGATTTGTACTGCGTCTGCTGGAAGCTAGAAGCCATAAAAAGGCATAGATGAAACAAAGAGAATGTAAGAACCTGAAGTTGAATAAATGTATGAAGCAGATAAAGTAACCAGTTTCCAAACCTGAAACAGAACTTGAAGAGCGGGAAGACATACTACTGATATCAGAAGCAGCAGAAGCATTTCTCTTGTGTCTTGGAGGACGATTAGAGCTCTCAATACTCCTGAATTCAAAGGAGCTAGTGAGTTCACAAAGACGAAAAATCGATAAAACTAACTTCCAGAAAAACAAAGGCAAACCTTGATTTAAGATCATTTCCACTGGTGTGTCGACGCAATGTCCCTGCATTACAAGAATGCTAACTCTTTAGATGATGTTTGAAGTAATAAGAGAAAAAAATGAGGTAAGAGTTTGTGTTGTTTTTAACCTCTTGGTTCAACTTCACGTTGAGAGAGCATAGAGAAAGAACCCATCAAACTCGACATTTTGTCTAGTGTTAACTCAGAAATAGACCTCTTGTGAAACTACAAACCAATAAAGAAAAGAAAACAGAATCACTCCTCTGAAATCATCAGCATAAAAAAAAACACAGGACAAGTAGTAACTTACAGGTTCTCTCTTGGTGCATCCATATTTACTCTGTATCTGTTTCCATATAATAGACAAAAGAAAAAATCAGGAACTATTCTGTTTTGTAGTGGAAATAGTAAACATGAATTGATTGATTTACCTTAATAGAGAAATCAGTTATATCTAACAACAATAGCTTTGATTCAAAGTAATGAGACAAAGCTTTTGCAAGCATTTGCTGATAAAACTCCGCAGGTCCGGAAAGAAGAATGGCTTTACTCGCAGGTGCAAGATTCCGAGTGTGCTTCGATATATCATACTCTTTTAGATGAACATAAGCTGCACTTGTCAATAATACTCGAGTTCTCTTGCTGCCATTTCAAAAATGTATTCATCTTATTACCAAAAACAGACAATGTATAATTCACTAACTATACTGATTTATGACAAAGTTGTATTCAATCTCATTCACATTACTATTAGAACTTGCTATATTTTTGGTCTTACTAAGTAATCTAATATATTACAGACTGGATTCAATAGTATCCAAAAAACAGTGTAGCAGAAAAGGATTAACTAAATTAATCACATGTGAGAATCTTTCTATTTCTCTCTCTCTCTCTCTGTCTGTCTTTGCCAAATCATCCACATGCTTATTGTGCAACTAACCTACCCCACTTCCCATCAATTTTTTTTAGGAAGAAAAAAAGCAAACTTTTCATTCACAGAATTTCACATCTCTATCATTCTCTTAATCCAAATATTCTCATAGATTCTAAGATTCTTTCACCACCAAAGAGAAATCAAATCCTTAAAATTTAGTGAAAACATAACCAACTTGCCAAGTTATTTCTTTCTTCTAAAGATTTAATCTTTTTTGACAGCTGGAAGATGTAAAAAATTCATAACCAACTTGCCAAGTTGGTATCTTTTGTCAATCAATCACACTCTTATCTAAAAATCCATAGATCTGAAATAATTCCTAAAGAACATTGAATCCTTGATTAACCTCAAGTCATAATAAAACTATATAAATCTTACAAAAACACAAAGAACAGAGCTTTTGTTGTTTTGTTCTGAAGTTACCTTAAGAAATACGGAAACTCATCAAAAGTGACAGTACTCTCTCTACCATCAACAATTTGTCTCATCAACTCTTGCTCAATCTGTTCTCCGGTGAGTCCATCTTCAACAGAACCCGACCCGTTTGCCCATCTTCCCAAACTTTGACCTGATGCTAAACCAATCCCTAACCCAACACCAACTCCTAAAGCTGACAACAATACGCTCTTCTGCTCCATTTTTTCACCAAAAGACAAAAGATTTTACGAATCAGAAGAAAACCCTCGATTCTAAATCACACGATCTAGGAAGGGTTCAACGAGCATTCCTCGGAAAAGAAGAAAAAATCGAGACTTTTTTTGTTGTCTCGAAATATCTATTTTGTGTAAAGGAAGAGTTTTTTTTTTCTTTTGGGGTAAAAAAAGATTTATAAGGTGGACGATGGAGAAGAAGAAGATGGGTTTGACGGGTGAGGAGAGAAGATGGATCTCTCTATTTATAGCGACGTTTGGGTTAAGTCTTATATGGTCGTTAAATCCTTTCCCGGGAAAAAGCAACTCAGATGGTAACATTTCTTAGAAATCCTATATTTTAAAAAGAAAAACCAGATTTTTACTTTTTACTATTTAGTTAAGTTTTTCTGTCATTTTTTTGTATATAGAAAAAAAGTTTGTTAGTGGGGAAATATAATAAATAAAAAGAAAAGCTTTCTTTGACTGATAACCGGATATTTCGGTTTTCTCATTTTCTCATGTCTTTTTGTTAAACGTTTTCTTTTTTATGTTTTCTCTTTCAAAAAAATTTCTTTTTGGTCGGTCTTACCTTTTCGTAAGTTTTTAGTTTGGTAGGGTTTGACATGAGGACCTGCTACTCCCGGTTATCAATTCCTCGAAATCCTTTTCTCAGTTTTTGTTTTTTTGTTTCTATTGTGATTGACTACATAATTATGGACAATAGGTCTAACGTATTAAATATATACGGCTATGTAATTGTGTGTGTGGTCCAAGGAATCAAGGATGAGATAAATGTAGTTTCTAGCTATATCACACACATTGGGTGATATAAAATCTTGTGAAATACACTTTTTTTACATGGAAATGTACCACAAGACACATGTATCAACAAGCGTGAACAAGTTTTGGTAGAATGAAAGGGAATGGTCCTAAGACGGGTTCAATCTCGTGGGTCTTTTTTACCATAATATGAATTAACGTGTATAAATATAATATGCAAAATAAGATGTATTTGAAACTGTTTAATTTTACCCAAAACCACGGCTTATACGAGATGGTTTAGTGTTCGAATACATGGATCTCTTCTTTGGACTGTGAAGTCATATTATAGGGAAGGATATGAATATTCTTTTCGAAAAACGAATCTTTTCTTTGTAGAATCTATCATCTCATTGGCATGTGATTTCGGAGGTACCTTTCCATATTAATTTTGATTCCTTAGTCTCTAACGCAAACGACTCTGTCTTTTTCATGCATAACTTTACCTTTTGTTGTCATCTTATAGTAATTGAAAGGTAAAAGTCATCTTATAGTAATTGAAAGGTAAAAGTCATCTTATAGTAATTGAAAGGTAAAAGTCATCAACCAAACACTTTCTTTTCCAAATAAAATAATTTTCTTACTTGGTTACAAATGTCTACATAACGGGAAACTCTTCATCCATTTATTTTTGTTACAATTCAGTCTTTGATTAACTAAAGATTTGCAATGATTTGGATTTGGCAACCAATTAAAAATCAGTTTGAATTAGTTTAATTATTTTGATAAGATCAAATTAATATTTTTTTACTATTCTTTTTACACTTTGCTATCATTAGTGACCAATTACCTAGCAAGAGTTATGACTATGTAAAAACAATATTTTACATAAAATTTATAAATTATGTCGTAATTTTTTCACTAATTAAGTTAACCAATTTTATTATTAATAATTAGCAATAAAAATTTGTTCAACAAATAGTTATTATTTCATCACTATTATGTTGCAAAGATATAACTAATTGAACGACATATAATCTCACTCAAAAATCATTTTTTTTGGTAATGAGAAATTTGACCACATGTAAATTTGGCATGCCTTGCTTGCTACCTATAAATTGACAAGAGGCAATGTAGTGTACAACAACTTTTTTGTTTAAATTGTATAATGCGTTTTTATTAAATATTTTAATAACTTTTACTTTATACTGTTTTAACTACTTTTACTATTTAAACCATTAAAATATCAACAATCGATATATTTGTTAAATTTTCTCATTTGTTTCTAATCGCACCATCTTCCTTTACTAAAGTATCTTTTACCGCATCACTTAAACTTAATCATCAATCACAGTCACGACTCATTATATAACTATGATGATAGTTTCGTTGAAAATAGTATCATGCACACAAATAGAGATGCATATCTATAGAATATTCGTGTGTAGTTGCTTTAGAAGGCAGCACATGGATGGAGATTGAGTTCTAACAAAAGGCTAATTAATTGCGGATTAATTCCACTTTGCATTTTTTTGTTGTTTCCTTCAAAAACTACTAACAAAATGTATCACTTTACACGCCATCTTCATCTTTTAGAGGCGGCTTTTAAATTATAAAAACAATTAAAGAGTCAAATGAAAAAAGTAGATACATATAACAATAATACTACTGTATATATATATATATATGCTTAAAAAAATTATTGTGACAAATTACAGCACTAAGAGCATACAAATGATGCCAAATCATTGCTCTCTAATCACATACTTTTATTTTATATATATATTACATTAAATATAATCAACTGCTCAAATAAATATTAGTACTCTAACAATAACCTCCTTTGTTGATCAATAAATTTGAAATTTTGTACCAAAAAAAAATAAATATACTTTCTAACAGTCACTTATTCATCATGTACATGAATGGTATAATTGATTAAAATTAAAATTATATTTTGAAGTAATTATTAAAAAAAAAAATTCAAACCAATATACTGGAGACAAAAAAATTGCCTTCTTGTATGTTTCTAGTGGGATTGAATTACCCATTTGTATGAGGTTAATTGTGTTAAAGGAAAGTGCAAAGTTTTTTTTTTATATAATCAATGATTCACATTTTACATCACAATTAAGAATAAAATGTGTACGTCTAGTAGCTATATAATGGATATTTTCAAGTTTATCTTACATCATCTTAAATCATCCGTACAAAAAATTAGGTATACAGAATTAAAGAATATAAGTCTCTTATGTTATCAAAACTGAAGTATATATGTACTTTTAATCATTTTGGAATACAAAATAAAGTTAATGTTGATAGGTCAGGAATTTCGTTTAAATTCGGTGGAAACTTTGAGAGCCATTGATTTTGTCTATGCTGTATCATATGCTTTACACATATATAATGTAATATAATATTTGTGTGGCCAATGAGAAAACTAGCCTTGACCTGTATGACAATTGGCATGTTTCTTGATGTTTTAGTCTAATTCAATGTACCAATAAAATTATATCCTTTAACAAAAAAAACCAATAAAATTATATCTATGTTTAATTTCAAAATTAAAAAATCAAACCCCAAAAGATTACTAAATAGTACAAGAAACTTATTTATAGTTTTTTTTTTTTGAGTTTATATTTAAACCAGTTAAAAATTAATAGAATGACCAATATATTTTATATTAGAAAAAGTATATAAATAAATCTACAACTTACACATTTGGTCCAAAAATTTCACCCATAACTAAATAAATGTTCAACTTTGAATTAAGTTAGTCGGAACAGTCCAAACGTTAGCCAAACTTAACATAGTGTTAAGTTGAGTTTATTCCGAGAAATCTCAATTTAGCCAAAACGTGCAAGTTAAATAGTATGCACAACGAATAAATGTTTCTGGAACACTAGCCACATTGGTAATATTATAAATTACCAAACTTTCATTGTAATCACAACAACAAGAAAACATTAATATCAAGTTCATTTGGTTCAATGATAAGGAAAACACATTTTAAGATAATTTTACAAAGTAAACACAATAAAGCTGCAGCTGCAGTGATTATCCATCTTAAAAACCTGTTTTGGGTTCCAAAATGGGTACAAGTGGGATACACATTGCATGGTCAATGTGATTTATTTCCAATTCATATTAATTTGTCTGTTGTGACAAGTGGGATACACACTTTGCTTTCAGTTATGTTAACAATTCATTGGTAAAGTATTATGTTACATCCTTTTTAATTTTAAAACATGTAAAGTTGGGATTTTGTGTGTTTGTGTGGGGATCTCTAACTTTAAAATAAGATCACATGCCAAAAAGCTGTTGAAAAATAAGAACAGAAAAAAGGTTCAACAAACTATTCTCTTTTTCCTCTCCTAATTCATATTGGATCTGGTATGCTCTAATATACTCTAATTGGTTTCTTTAAGAAATAGAGATTTTAAAAAAGACAAAGAATACATTCTTGAACAAGTGTAACAACCCTTGAATCCTGTGAAACTAAATCTTATTATTAAACCTCATGTCTTTCAAAAATATTCAAATTTTTGGATTTGAGACTTCACTTGTTCTTACTAACCTCTAAAAATATCTAGTTCATGTATATTACGAATTGAGTTGCTATTTAATCACTTAATAAATTTTAGTTGCATATTCCTAGACGTTACCTTTAATAAAACACCTCTTTCTAGCGTTTGTGGCATAATTTCCCAAATCAGCATCACATGCTTGTGTCCTGAAACCAATTTATTTAAGGAAATATGTGATCTAAATATGACAGAGACAAACAATAAAAATGTATTTTAAGTTAAAAATTTTAACTTTGGGTGACACAGAATACGACCCAACCTTTCTCTTTCGCCACTAAGTCATAGTCTCCCATCGGTAAAGCAACTCTTTGATCTTTCTTCTACACATTATATTCCTATGTACAAAGTTTTGTGTGCACAATTATCTTTCAAATGCAATCTTACTAACTTGATCAACCATAATTCTAGGGATGTTGATTGTTTTAAACACCAAACATTTATCATTTAAAACACCTAAAATACCGAATGTCACATTGAATATTAGAATGATTCTATTTAACATGAAATAATGAAAAAACTATACCAAAAATATGTAAAAGTTGAAGTATTATAATCAATTCATAATAATTTAAACCAAATTTATGTTGGTCTCTAATTGTTGGTTTTTTTATGGTGTTAAAGAACGTCCATAATACGAGTTCTTCTTCTACGATTGCAATCACACCTCAAAAAAATAGCTTGGAGTAATTTCGGGGAATACTCTAGCTAATTATCGAGATACAAAAGCTAAATACTTATATGGAATTGCACGAAAAAATAGTCTTCATATTAATAGTTATTGACGTCTATAGTCCACTACGAGTTTTTGTTGTTGTATCCACTAAGAAGTTAGGCCATCATCTCCTTTTTTGGCAGTTGTCCATATTAAGCCTAATTTTATTTCTGTTAAAGGCTTTCGTCCGTCAAAATCCAAGATTGCCAATATTTTTACAGAAATTTATGAAGAGTGATCTATCAAAAACCATTTTTCTATACATCCATGAATAAAATAAAAAGTTATGAAAACTAATTGGTAATGAGATGAGACTTATTCAACAATAATGAAGACTGAGGCAGTAACGAGAGTGTGGAAGACGAAAGCCAGTTTTATGGACCCTCTTGCTTTGGATTCTCCAACCTCTTTACCCATTCTCTGTCACAGACTCACACATCACACATCACACATCACGCATTTAACTATAGTTCCCAAATTATTCTAGCGCATACATATAAATTTTTTGTCAACCAAATAATTAAATTAACCGGCTTGAACCAATTTGGAAATGTGAAACCTACAAATGAAAAGTTTTAATCCTAGTTTTAATCCTTATTCCAAGTTTATTCTAGTTGTGATAATTGTGTATGATATGTTTGCTCCTAAGAGAGTACCGTAAGTTTTTCAAACCATCAAAATGTAAAGCTGTATTTTTTTTTTTTGTCAACCACACAATAATTAGAAAACCAATGTATCAATATATTACTCTATGTTTAGAATTGACGTAGCGGAAGCTTCTAGGGATAGATTACGAAAGTAATCTTGAGTATCAATGGATCTCAAGCAAGACAATCGTAGCTCGGAATTCTATTGTTATCGGAGATCAATGGATTCACGATAAACAAAGACTTCAAAGACTTCGTTTGAGAATACTCTTCTCAGTGCTTATCAAAAGCTCTTTAATTTTATTAATCAAAAACAACCGAATACAATAGGAGGCCTAAGAAGACTATTTATAATAAAACCCGAGAACCCTAAAACATAGAATATTCTAGAACAATAATTATTAATTAATTAAAATATGATAATATTAGATATTTGGAAATATTCCAAATATCTCGCTGCATCAGGTCTCGTCGGCCAAGAAAAGATTCGTCCTCGAATCTTGTATCTGCGCTGCATCAGCTCCCGACGGCCAAGAAAGATTCGCCCTCGAATCTTCAACAAAATTCTTGTCATCAAATAGATCTTTTCAAACCCACCGTGTACCATGGCCGTAAATATAATCATATTTTTTGCTTTTCTTCTTTTCCATCGATAATATTTTCCAAATAAGAAAATAAAATTATTTTGCACCTCAATCACTTGAAACTTGGTCTCCACGTCTTTGTTACCATGAAGAACTTTAACTAGGCCTTCTTTCCCAAAAGCCCAATTTGCATCATGATTCTTCAATCCATCGACACACACATCTTCTTCGTTCTCGTTATTGTCGTGAGAGTGCTGCCCATGTGCTGCAGACAAATTGAGAAGGAGACACTTGGAATTTGTATCCACAAAACCCACGTTCATATTTTTATGTGATAATAACAATTTAGTTTTGTTATTTTCAACACAAACATCCACCTTCTGCCTTCTCCTTGTATTAAAAGATCCATCAATGAAGATAAAGTCTACGTGATCAACGTATATGTCTTCTTCGTAGACGTCATAAACCGGAGGCCCATAAATTTCTTTGTACTTCCCATACAAATCTTCTGTTAAAGAAAACAGAAATTCATCGGCTTGATAGAGACACCCGAACGACATGGTAAACGAAGAACCGTTTCGGCTCTGATACCAACTGACGTAGCGGAAGCTTCTAGGGATAGATTACGAAAGTAATCTTGAGTATCAATGGATCTCAAGCAAGACAATCGTAGCTCGGAATTCTATTGTTATCGGAGATCAATGGATTCACGATAAACAAAGACTTCAAAGACTTCGTTTGAGAATACTCTTCTCAGTGCTTATCAAAAGCTCTTTAATTTTATTAATCAAAAACAACCGAATACAATAGGAGGCCTAAGAAGACTATTTATAATAAAACCCGAGAACCCTAAAACATAGAATATTCTAGAACAATAATTATTAATTAATTAAAATATGATAATATTAGATATTTGGAAATATTCCAAATATCTCGCTGCATCAAGAATGAAGGTAAATCATATTAAACTTCAACCCTAAGTTGATCCATCTATTCATTTCCAATAAGTCTTTGTATGATTCATAAGATTAAAGATTAAGCTAAATTTAGATAAATCCTTTGATTAAGTTATTTGGACTCAATGTTTTTTCCTCTTACATATACACTTTTGGCATATCAGTGAATATTTTTCTGAACACGATCAACACTTTTTGTTTCAAGTGATTTTCTAATTTTATATTTAAAAGTATAATACTTCCAAAAATATTGAGTTGCGATGGGACAAAGAAAGAATGAGACGAATACCAAACTACGTTTTGAGGAACAATAAACTTTTTTCATAAGATTAACCTTTGAATATCATGAAAGGGCCAAACCAGTAAGAACTCACACTTTGAGATCTCATGTCTTTTTTTTTGGATACGTCTTTTTCTTTGTCCAAATCTCAACTCATCAACATTACCTGGTTTTGGACCTACTATCATTTAATTGGTTCCTCTTATTTTGTTTTCAGCAGTTTTATTTTTATGTTATGCTTTATAAAAAGCGACAAATGTTGGGATCCACTTAAACATTATTAAGATACGAATCTTAGATCTAAATCATAACAAGAAGAGAAGACAAAACAAATATAATCCTGTGAAATAACAATACAACAATTGATAACTAATTTTCTGAAGATTAATTAGCCAAAAGGACTCTCATGTATTCATCGAAATACCCGGGACTTAAGTGCTCTCTATACTAGTTGATATGGGCTTCTTATTTCGGCCCACATTCGGATTCCAGTTAATATGGGTTTCTTATTTCGACCCATATCACTAAAACATCTTCATAGTTTCATATTTGGTATCAATATTTCGTCCTCTCTTCGTGAAAATGGCAATGTGAGAGAACCACCAAAGTTGCATTACCGTGAAGGGAAAGAAAAACCTAAGGCAAAAGAATCCTAAGAGTTTCTAATTTTTGGCACAAGACCAAAAAAAAAGCAAAATGCCACAAAAGAGAGAAGAGAGCCTACTAAGAGTTTTCTACTAACTATTCTAACCAAAAGGAGGGAAAAACAAAAAACTGTTCAGTTCCTCAATGATACCAACTGCTTCTTCGATGTTGCAATTCACTTCTCAAGAATCATTATCATTTACTTTGTGATGTTGCTTCTGGGAAGCCACTCTCTGAAGCTGCATTAGATTCTTCTGGATCTTTTGCCGTTTCTTCTTGATCTTTTGCAGTTTCTTCTTTTCCTTCAAAAGCATTCGCCAAGAACCCGCTCTTTGATGAAGCAGACTGATCAGGATTTGCTTCAGTAGCAATGCCTGATGCACTCATTTTCTTGTTGCCAAGCTCTAGCTGAAGCTCCTCTGGCACATCTTCAACGGTAGAAACTGGTTTTTCCTCCATTCCACGAGGTTCAGCATCTGCAGGAGATTTCTCATCCTCTGTTCCTGATAGTTTAGTTTCCTTCTGAAAGAGTTCAAGGTTCAGTGTAGAGCTGGATCCCGCGGCCTGCTTTCGCGACATTTCAGTTGCTGGAAAGAAATCAACCAAAGTAGTAGAACCTTTAGCAATTGAATCTTTAGGTGAAGTAGTAGTGACTGTAACTGCTGTCTTACTTGCTGCACAAGCTTCGGATCTCAGAACAGTATGAATCTTCTTTGGGTACGCCATCACTACCAAACTGTGGCATGAGAGAGAGGGTTTGGCTTTCAGGTTCCATGAGTTTCCCCTCTGCAGAAGAGCCACCAACATCTTTCATCAGTGTATCAATAGGATCATTCCTCTCACCGATAACCACAGAACCAACACCAGCATCACTCATTGTATGAATATCGGGCAGCGATGTGGTGCAAGTAGCAGATTGGTTCTTATCAGCGATCAAGGCATCTGTTTGAGGCTCAGAACCGATGTCATCAGTTTGACTCCCAGCGTTTTTCTTTCCCTGAAGTGGAGTTTGTTGGTTTAACAAGGGAATCGGGATATCGTTTCTTGCATACATCTTAGCTTGGGGAAACAAATCAGTTGCTGGGGTAACTGGAGTGACTTTATCTGGTAAGAAAACAACGCCTTTCAATTGCTTTTCCGTGTCAGCAACCTTGACATTGAGAAAATAGCCTGCCTCGAAAGAACCTTCAACCACACCAGAAACAACTTGACCAATCAGATTCTCGTCAATAGTAGTACTAACAAGTGGGTTCACTGGTAGCTGAGTCTGGCTTTCGTCTCTGCGAGGACGACCTCTCTTTCGCTTATTGGTAAGAGATGAGCTCGACCCTTGATTCACTTGGTCCATCTTCTCTGGAATATCCATGATCTTTCAACTGTAAAATCTTCTTCTTGATCAACAACAGTCGTCTAGCAAAAAAATAAAAAACAAAAGTATTTTCTCTTAGTTTCATCAGTATGCTCATAGTTACCATTATTGAACAGAAATCTACACAACCCAAACTTCAATCATTATCTATCTGAACAAAACACATATTGATGAATTTTCAGAACAATCAAAACATAAGCAACGACAATTCACATAACACCAAGTGATGGAACCAAGATAGCCAACCAAATCGACTATTAGCTTGACTTCTTCACAAACTATATCCTCAAGATAGATGAGAATGCAACACTAAGATTGACTTTTAATGCTACAAAGCAACAGTTTGTCAACTACCACTTTCACATAAGGAACCAAGTTACCATTTTTGTTCAATTTTTAAGGAAATGCCCAAACAGTAACCTTTAAGGAAATGCACCTTCCTCACATGACATATAAAGAAACTTTAGATTCAACACTTCAAATCACAAACTCACATAGTTTAAAAAGACGATTATAAATGATTCTAAAATCTTCTATATTTCCTCATAAAGCAAGAAAAGAATCAATTTTTAGTTCCCCATGAAGTCAAATCAAAATAGTTAATGATCAGATGGATTATGTATAAGCCACGGAAACAAAAAATGGACCAATAATCTCAACAATTACACAGATAACCCAGAAACACAAATTCTTCGAGAATCTAAACACAAAAACAGAATAAACCTAGATTCCACAATAACCTAAAAATTGATTAATCAACCAAGAAACGGAAAATTTTCCGGGAAAATCAACTGGGAAAAAAAAAAGAAACACTCACCGATTAGGTTCGCGACGGAGAAATGGTTGTTTACCGGAATCGGAGGGTTTCTTTTTTGGAGGGGAATCACTTTCTCTAACGTTACGGTGAGAGAGATGAGTAGAGAAATACGCACGCGTATACGTATTAGTATACGTATTCGTAGATTCTCCGTTATACGGTTCGTCTCTGTCTCTCGTCGCTTCGTCTTCTTCCTCTGTTCTCTCTCTCGCTTTCTCGGCGTTTTTAGTTTTTGGGGAATGTGGAAAATAATTAATTATAATTTGAATTTCGAGTTAAATGGGCCAATTTTGGTTTCCTTATTAAGCCCATTAAACTCTTACCCATTTAAGCTAGGGACTTCATCGATTACACTCATTTTTATAAGGCTTGGGTGATGTAAACATGGCGAAGAAAATAGCTGAATATAAGGAATTTCTGAATTGTGAAATGAAAAAAAAAATTGGGGATTATTTTAAATAAAATAAAAATCCCATCACGGTTCTTTTCTAAATTTTCATGTGTATTTGTGTTCTTTTTAATTTTGAAAATTTTCTACTGATTAAATATATATTTGCTTAAAATTACAACTTTGAATCCGATCCTCTTATAAAAAAATCCGACCCTCAAAGTAAAATTAAAACAACAAAATAAAAAATAATATGTAAATTTTTATAGTGGTTTAATTTTAGATGAAAATAACATCCAGTGAATTTTCAAACTTTTGTTTTAATCAAATTAAGTTATACATTATATCAATAGTGAACTCAAAGAAAGAAAAAGAGAAAATTTCTAAAATTTTTGAACGCGTCATCAAAAAGTTAGGTTTTATAACTCAACAATAATACAAATTTGCATTAATAAATATATATAGTGAAAAATTAATAAAGAATATATATATATATATATATATATATATATAAGGGATATATTATCAATACATTCAACCTCTATATGGTATCTGAGCAATTACGTACACAATACAATTATACAAGCAAACAATTATGTAGGTATGTTGTCTCAACCTTTATCTCTTGCATGTTTGTTTTTCTCTCGTTTTTGTTAATATATTGGTGTCACATCCTTATCTATGTTTCGTTGAAGAAATGGTGTAGATGATGCTCGGATTACAAGAAAAGCCAGGAGAAAATGAGGGAAATTATGTAATTTTGTCATGGCGAATATATGCCAAAACTAATTAATATCTTATCCACATCTCTTTTCAAACGATTCCCTTGGTCTACATTTTTTGCACCTTAATAATAAATTCTAAACATATATATATAATATTAAAATTATAAACTTATATATATATATTTTAAAATAAAATTATAAACTTATTTACATACATATTGTTGTTTAATAAACCTATATATATATATATATGCTGAATTCTTGAATCACGTAAAATTGTATACATATGTGTATATATACATGAGTTGCTTAATTGAATAATATGACAAGTTAACGAATTGATTCTCTCCCGACAAAAGGCATGAAATTAAGATAATGGTTTTTCGTTGGCTTATTTTGTGAGTCTAATCAATCTTCTCGGCCAAATATTAAGTTAGTAAATCGTGACTTGACCAGTAAGCAACATAACCCTTAAATCATTTCTGTGGCAATTCCATACTATTTTACAAAATTAGAATATTTTTTTTGGTCAGAAATTAATTAATTTTCCAAGTACAATGACGTGATTAATCATGATCTAGCTAGTTCTAGTGTTTCCTTGTCGGGATTTATCGGCATATAATTATAACAACACATACATTTGGTTCCTTCTCAGTTCTCAAATTGATTTGTTGTTGTTGTTCTGTCCAAAGATATGTTAAAGATTGAAGTGCTTGCAGTCTAGAATTCAACGTCGGTCAAAATTTATGAGATGTATTCTTGACGACTATAGCATTTATTTATTGGCTACGAGTTTCTAGATCAGTTTTGATCTATAATCCGAGTTAAGAAAATCTTATGACAATAGTTTATTTATTTACTGTATATTGTATGAAAAGTTATATAATCAATGATTCGGACGACGTGTGGCTAGTGTTATTGATGTGTGGCTAGTGTTATAGATGTTACTTTTTGTCTGATTTAATTTTACAAGAAAAAAAAATGTTGGTTTGAGATAATATTAATTGGTGTAGTCTGGGACTTGATTAGCTGTGATGTTCCTTCTCGTAATGTACCATTCCACGGCCAATAACGTCTGCTTCGAATCTGGTTCAATTCTCTATTATGAATCATCAAAAGGTTTTAGTTCATCAATCATTTTGTTTTTTTTCCATTTCGAGAAGAAACATCTAGCAACTATTTATTGTATAATATGAAAGTTAGCAGTGGTGTGTAGGAATCATGCATGTTGGCATAAGGCTGATAGACAAATACGTTACGTGCAAAAATATATCTTTCGGATCGGATCGGATAGTCCAACTTCGATTGAGACACGAATGCAACTAAGCATTGCACTAAGGACGAGTTGGAAGCAAAATCGGTTGAACCCGGAGCCAGGCTTTGGAAGAGTCAGATCAAGTTCTGAATTCGAAAAGACTATATTTGTTTTCTGATCTATGGTTTGAAGAGATAAATGGATTTCGCCCTTAACCAACCCACGTTGGTCCAGTTGGTAAAGGGCTCACGGCTGTGAGTTCCCCCTCCTGGGTTCGATTCGGGTTGGCCACCTAGCCGCTCCTTTAACGATGGGGTAAAGTGTACCCGGATGCAAGACCTCGTGGATTAGTCTTTGGGCCTAGGAAGCTTTTAGAAAAAAAGAGTTGAATACTATTAGAAAAAAAAAAAGGAATCATATTAGTGACTAGTTTTTTTATTTCTAATAGTGTTCCAACTCTTTTTTTTCAAAAGGTTTTAGGACGAAATCCATTTATCTCTATATACCAATAAAATCTTTTAGCTTTTGTTTTGTGACCGGTCAAAATGTGCTCTAATGATCTGGTATCTGTCGACCCAAGTCCAATGTATGCTAAAAATACTAAACTCTTTTCATATCGAATTATTGATTTCTTCACATTCACTAACAACGAGTTATCTCTCTAGATGTACAGTATCATCGTTTATGACCTCTTTTTTGGTAATTATCTCTTAACTTAGACACCTGCAAGACCTTTATCATCTATTTTTTTTTTGAGAATTGTTTCTTACCGACTATTTAATAATACCATAAATTTCCAAGGAATCGTATATGATTTCATGGTCATAAAAAAAAAAAAAAGTTCAGAAAAATCTGTAAAAAGAGTACTATATTGATCTTCCATGCACGTAAATAATTCGATTGGTGTATTCTTTCTTGTGTATGACTATCTAATGTGAACAATTGGAAAAGATCGTATATATTTCTTAAAATCATTAGTGATAATCAAATCAACAATCCCATACACACGTAAAGAAAATCCACATATATCTTCTCTATATGAACAAATCAAGCGTTGAATTTGACGACGGATACCGAAAACATAGATACATGAATCTAGTATATATATCTCTCTCAATAGATTATGACAAAAGAAAAATGACCATATATATGTTCAAGTTTTTTTGGTCCCCCAAGAAGAAGAAGACGAAGATGAAATAAGAAAGAAGATGAAAAAGAAATGAAGATAGGAGATAGGAACAGTGTCACGAGGAATGCTTTGGATCTTCTCGGAACATATCTTGTCTACATGTCTCCTTGTTTTGTCTCACCAGCACGTGAGATTAGAGTTTCTTCCTCTTCGTTTACCCAATTATTTTTTTCTCATTTTTCAAAGTCTTTTTTGTGTGTCACTACTCAAGCGGCTTATCCGCATTAAGCTTTGGGTTTGTTGCCTAATTTCTCTATTTGCATTGTCGGTTATAATTCGGTATAGTGATAAGAGAAAGAGATCCTAGGTGATGTTTAGAACATCTTGAGTTTGAATTTGTCTCCACTATAGTGTGTGGTTTACATTGACGAGAAAGATATTTTTGTTTCCCCTTGTTCACATATAGCTTTACAATTCCAAATCTAGTTTTTTTGTTCCAACAAATTAATGTTTCTAGCTGATTTGTGTAAAATAAGCATTTGTCAAATGACTTAAAAACAAATAGGGCAAAAACCAAAAACTAATACCAATAAAATGAAGAATTATTTTAAGTCATTTGATAAATGCTTATTTTAAACACAAGTCATTTGAGTCATTTGTTGTTTTAAAAGTTGTCATTCTTTTGTTTTAAAATTTGCCATTTTTTTCAAAAAAGAACTCCTCGTTCTTAACTCTTCTACGTACATATGTTTGATAATTAATTAATTAGTTGAGAACAAATTTATTCGAGAACAAAATGACTTTTTTTGTTTTAGCTATTTGGTAGCTCCAAGTGATAACTTTCAATTTAGGAATTATGGTCCTACAGGTAAATAATTCTGGCCGGTGTTTTTGTAGCGTTCCAAACCAGATATCTCGCTTTACAAGCCCAATAAAAATTAATTAAGTACTTTGATATTTTAAATTTTGGTTGTAAGATTTGGATCTAGATGCAATGTAACCAATGAAATTTATCTGTGCATGTACCCCCAAAATCGTCTTGGACCTATAAATTTGCAGAAGAAGAAAGGAAGAAAAATGATGCCTAGGCAAATCTTTTTGCCTGTCTTTTTGGGTGAATATGTCCTTTGCTACAATAATTTTAAGCATCAAAATATCTTTTAAAAAATATATTTTTTTGTTTGGAATCCATCTTGTCTCTAATGTTATAGGGTCTATTAATATTAAATTCCTCTATATATAAATGACAAATCTTCTGCTACAAAGTTGCTGCAACGATATGGGCAATTTTGTTTTTCTAAAAGTAAATAACTTTAAATCGGTCCTTAGTCTATAACTCTATATATTCGAACTTAAAGTACTTTCTTATATTTCGCTTACATGAATACCATAGGTTTGTCCCCTTCCGCATTGTAGACTTCATTTATGCAGCTTTAATAGATAAGTAGCTTAACATATATGATTTTATAATGAAAATGCAAATCAAATGCGATTCATACACCGAATTTCTCGGAGTTTAAGTTGGTGTATAGGTCTTGTATGAGTAAAAGGCTAGGAGATTTCTTGGCTAAGTGTGTTTTCTCTTTTGTTAATTTCTTATACACGTTTTTGGTTTGCCAACACGTCTTGACCAAATTTTAATAAAGTGTGTTTATTTAAAAAAGAAAAAAGGAACACGGAATTAAGCAATGTGTAATCTTTGAACTTATATCAATCAACATGGATTAATAGACAATAGATATATAACGATAGTTGCCAACCAAAACTATGATGGTGATAAATGTGTTGACAGCAAAAAATGATACATGTCTCATTTGGTTTCTATTTTATTTTATATTAGTGGAAAGTAACTATTAAAACTTTAGAACGGATAAACCATGGTTATAGGCAATTTAAAATTCAAGATATAGAAATTAAATATTTTAAATATTTATAAACTATTAGTAAAACGCTCATATGATTTCAAATATATACAAAGATGGTTATACTCATACACAAAGATAAAATCTTCTGAAATACATTTACGTTTGGTTTTTGGATTAAATCCGCAATATACGAGACGTAACCGTGATGCACTCCTGAATTTTGTAATACGTTTGGATAGACTAAGTTTTGAACCTTAGATCTTAGCGTCAAGATTCTTTCATTTTTGTACTTAACCCAATGGTAAATGATAACTCCAATTTTTCTAATCAGAAGGATTAAAATTGTATGTCCTATATATCTAAATATTCTCACTTTATATTATAGATATACACACATATATATGTAATATCATATGGTATATTTACACATGTGATAGATTATAGATTGTCGGTATTTTAACTAATCCTACAGAAAATGTTGAAGCTTCATGACAAACACAATCATACAAAACGAAAGAATATGTAGATCACGAAATCCACCTACTTATAATATCTTTTGTACCAAAATGCTATACAAGTATAAATATATGTTTATCTATATACAGATGTGGTGAATCATTTTAATCGCTAAATTACTGGTTTTGGAAAAACTAAAATTGGCCCAACAACAACCTCTACAATTACAAAAAAAAAGATGTGTTGTGTGTTTGAATATAACATATTTTTATATATCAACCATAACATGTAATGTATTGATTTGTGTTAATGTCGTCATTGTGTCACATTCCGAATTCAGACACTTATAATACATGTTTAAAAAATACTGATTAAAGATCAAATTAAAAAAAACTCATAAGACAGAAATTTTTTGAAGCTGATATAAGTTTTGGTATAAAAACTTTCGGACTAATGTTCTAGTTTTATTTTTTGTTCAAGGAAAGTACATGTTTTTGTTTGTGCATGTATATAATTATTTATCATATATATTTGTGTATATGTATAAATTATATATTATCTTATTAATACGTAATTCTAATTAATTAATTGATATAATATTGTGCAAAATAGACATGTTTATTTATATTGATACATATAAAATATGCAAAACATTAAACTCAGCCATGAAAAACGTAAATACAAAGACTAGACGATCCGACTAATCCTCAAAGTCATAAAGTGCAAATTATATTTATTGAGGGAAAAAAAAAAGTTTATAGAGAAACACATAACAGTTTTTTTAGCAAAAGAAAAGAAAGAAAGAAAACAAAACTAATTTATGTGTCATACGCAAACACTTGCGCTTCTAACAGTCAACTCCTACATTGACATTTGCCTAACGTTTTTCTTAGAATCAAAATAAAAGATTCGTCTACCACATTTTCGTTTTTCTTGGAACATGCATATTCACATCAACCTTTAAAACCACTCTTAAGTGGGACTAACTTCGCTTGGGTTATGAATTAAATTGATATAGTTTGGACTTTGGATAGTTTTTTTTTTTTTTTTTGGAATATCATATTTGGTTTGTTTCTTTTTAGCTCGATTTAATTATTTGACTGACAATTATGATAGAAAAGAGTTCAATCATGCATGATGACATCCCCATATGATCTCTAAGACAAGAAAAGACAAAATTTGCACAAAAAGAAAGAATATTCAAACACAATTGGACCAGAAATATTTAAAAGTAAACATGGGTAGGCACTTATAGTTTTTACCCCATATATAAAAAGAAACTATTTAACTTACATGATCCAAATATATATGGAGAAAAAAATAGCCAAGAAAATCTGAAAATATTTTCTTGATTCTGCTTGCAGCCCCATATATATTTCTATAAATGTGCCCACTCATGTAAAAAAACAAAAACATTCTTGATCCACATCAGATGACACATTCACATGGATCATTCACATCAATCTCTTTAATTCAAGAGAGAGAATCAACAAAAAGACACATCACAAGTTGCTCTCTCTCTCTCTCCCACTCCATGTGTAACGTGTTAATGCAATTTGCTTATTCTCTCAAGCTTAAATATTCTCCATCTCTACTTCTACCTGCTCGATCCTCTTCCATGGATTTTGTTCTCATTTCTCTGTTAAAATTAACACAAATACAAATTAACAAATACTCATCAAAATTTATAAAACTAAACAAAAAAAAACGTTAGATATATTATCTATAACGTACCGAATGATTTCTTGCAATGAAGAACGGCTTCGTAAATAGAACTCTCGGAGTCACAAGACCTTCTCCAATAATAATCATCAGCAACACTTATTCTTGGCGACGAAGTCATTTCATCAGAATAAACTCTGCTCCTACACGACGTCGTTACACGGATCCTCGAATCCATACCGATACTTCCCGTTGGTCCAGCGGATCTACATCTCCTTAATCTCTTACACAATGGCGTCAAGAAATCAAGATACTTCAACAAAACCCATTTGGATACTCTCCTCAGCTTTCTTGAAGAAGTAGCAGAAGACTTGCTCTTAACTCCATCAATCTTACCCGTCGTTGTTGTTGTGTCCAACGGCTCAGATTCTTCCTCGGTAGCCGCTGACGTGGCTTTTAATCGGTATGGCATGACGTAGCCGTCACGGAAAAGCTCGTCGGCGTGAACTAAAGAGTGATCTTCGTCGGAGAAAGAGACGAAGTTATCGAACTTGAAGCTACTTTCATGGGATGTTTTGATGAAGAATCTTCTAGAAGGAGGCAATCTTGGATCCATCTCGATGAAGGAAGAAGAAGAAGAAGAATCTTCGTAGGTTTGATGATGATCATCAATGGAAGCTTCTAAAGAAGGAAAGTTAACTAACCAACTATAAGAGAAGCTGTCTATGGGAACTAGTGGCATTGAAGCTTCTTGTTTATCTTCTTCCATGGCTGAATTTTTTTTTCTTTTGGCTTTTGGTTTTGTTTTGGGATATGTTGTTGAGTGTGTGCAGAGAAATTTGTTTGAGACAAAACAATGTTTGAATTGGGAACATATGTTTCAGTGTATATATATAGAGAGGGACATACACACATAATTTTATTTTAATTTTATAACGGTAATATATAAATATTTATGTGGTTAGTTTGGTAAGAAACAATAGATATTAATAATTGGAAAGGGAAAAAAGAAAAGAAAAGAAACATAAGAGTTTGTGAGCCCATACTAACCTCTCATTATGTGCTGTTGCCTTCACTTCTTTCCTTTTATTTATTATGTTTTTAATATTCTCTTTTTTCTTCTATATAAAAGTTATTTTAATTATGTATTCCCAGTGGCAACATATTTATATTTTAATTATGAAGATCAAGAAGATGATAAAGCATGATTATATTGTGATTTGTTTGAAGATATCCATAAATCATATAAGAAACCATGCATGTTAAGTATTGACACATATCATATGGAGCTAATTGTATAGGAACCCATAAAAGAAACAAAAATAGCTGTATAACGTTTTAAGATGAAATATCCAGAGCATTAATACAAATGAAGAAGGACCACGAGTTACAAATGGGAGAAAAGAAAACTAAAATAAAGAGTCATTTTGGTGAATAAGAAAAAGTTAGAGAAATGGGAGAGGAGAGGAGAAAGAGAGGGGGAGAGACAGAGGTCCCGGGAAGTGTCGGGGTGCGAGACGAATGTTGTCGAAAGATTAGGGGACAAAAGCCGAAAACGGAAAGTGACGTGGAGACTCATCAAAGTCTTATCTCTGGGGCCATTTTTGCATGGTCTTGTTATGGGTTACGTTTGAGAGAACTCGAAATAAGGTTTAATTAGTAATACTCCGTATTTTGTGAAGTGCATTTAATGATATGAATCTCTCAAATCTCGAAGAGAATGTTTGTTTGTTGGTCGTGTTTTGATAACACATGGTATAATAATTAATAACCTCTTGAGACATAAATATCTCCCTACTTTTAGATCATGGTTTATCAATTATGTATGGTTTCTACAATAAGTTTTTATCGTTGATTGATTTCTTACATGTTTTCAAGTTCTAAAACCAATTATAATATCCACACGAAATCAAGTGAAAAGTATTTGTCGTAGTAATACAAAAAATATTGTAAGTAGAGTATTAATTAGTATATTGTGAAGTAATTTTCTTATACACGTTTAAATGAATACAAAAGATACAGGATAAAATTATTAGTTTGCATAGAGCATACCGATCGATTTATTTTATAAATTTTCTGCAAGACTAACAGACAAAAACTAAGCAGGTAAACATATAAACACATAACCGCTGCATTTATATAGCTGACATTTTCGAGTAAGAGAAGTCGACTTTTCTCTTCTATGTAAATTTCTTTATTGTTAAATCATGACATAAAAAACATATAATATATTTAATAATTAAAATTAGATTCGCTTAATTTTGATATTTTTTACAAAGTAACGTAATATGTAAACTGTACTTAATATGGTTTTATAGTATAATCGTCATAAATTGTTCCATTTAAATGACGAGATTTATAAATCTTAATCGATCAAATGTCTACATATGTTGCAAATAGTTGAATTCAATATGTGTATTTTTACATATCTGCAGTCAAATATATAGACATATCCACAGTAATGAGCCTATATATGGACCAAGTTTGAATAAAAAATAAAGACTGATACTGAGAAAAAAAAAGAGACTGAAGTTTGAATCATTACAGTCAAAGATGGAATATTTAGTCTTTTTTTGTAAGATAAATGATTTGCATTTGTGTCCAGTAAATTTAATCTTTTCCTTTTTATTCACACGCCATATGAAAAAAAACACTAAATAAAAGCAGTTAATAGACAGCTTTTTATAATTGTAACAAAAACAACTTTTATTAATTAGCTTGACCACAATCAAATACTATGAAATGATGTACTACAATTGATCTCTTATTTGATAGAGTAGTCTTAGATATAATTTGACTCACATCAGCACTTATTTTGGATTTTATTAAATCTCGATTTAAGCATTCTTTTTATCATTTTTAGTTCATAGGTGCAGTTACCGCACAATAAAATCTAAACAAAACGAACAAAGTTGTAAAATAATCACAAAACTATGGTTATGAAACTTAGATTTTACCGTTAAGCTTTCACATTCTTAAAATACGAGCAAAAAGAAGTCAAAATATAAGCAAAAAAAAAGAAAAAAGTTTGTGAAAGGTACATTTCATGATATGAATCTCTCAAATCTCGAAACTACCAAACGAATATTGACACAATATATACAAATGATTATCTCCTAATATTCGCTAACATGATATGCCCAAAAAAAGAAAACGTGATATGCCGCAATAAGTTTAAGAAACTTTACCTCGTACATCCCAAATATTTTGGTGAGACAAGTCTTCTTATTTGGATCACTCAAATACTCGAAATATTTGGGACCAAATAAAGCGAAGGATTCATACTCGGTTTTGTTGATTTCTTTGACTATAAACCGTTTGTCCTTAGTCTTGGCAAAAATAGCTCCACTTTTGCCCCCTTTTGCCTCCCATCGGTCACATCTACTCAGTGACCCAATGTATTGTTCTTCAGACAGCATTAATCTTTTTCTAAGCTCACGGAAACTCTCTTCGTGTAGAAACGAAACATGGAAACCGAGGCAAGGGTTGGGAGATTGTTGAAGTGAGAAAGCTATGAGGCTCGACACTTCGTCCTCCCGAGCTGAAATTTCTTCTACTTTCCAGTCCATTTTTGGTGAAGGGATCATCACCGACGGAGAAAACTTCATCATGTCGAAAGCCGATGAAAGGACCTTATTTCGGAGTCTATTGAACCCCGATTTAAGAAATCCTTTCATCGCCTTTAACTCATATGTTGAGCTACCACTCAACACAATCTATAAAAAGAAAAAGAACAGAGAGAGTTGTTAGTAAATAAGCATAATTAACTTTATAATAAGATAAGCATAATTAACTTTACCGTGAAGCTTTCGCAACCTCCAAAATATATGAGACTCTTGAGGGGCTTCCGTTCCCTTAGATCCTCAATAACCGCATGAGATTTAAATGACTCGCAAGTGGAGAGAAAGGTTGGAAACCGGTGAAGGCGATGCTTCATATCCGTCACAACTGTAACTTCTAGATACTTGAGGACGAAACTATCCGGGGATATAGACTTCTCCACCAATATCACATTAGCCCCGGAATCTTCAATTTGTCTTCGGATTAGGGAAACATTGCGGCCTTCTTCAACAATGAGGATTTGAGGATTTTCATAAGTCTTTGGCATGTGTTCATGCGCAGGTGCTTTGGTGAAAACCAAGCCTGGAAACAGAGAACTGCACCACCCATCAAATTTTAGCGAAGCCAACCAAAGCCATGTTCTATTATATATTCTTCTATTCTTCTAACTTCAAGCCCACTTTTGCAATATTTAAATCTAAAAAAAAAAAGCAAAAAAAAAAAGGGGAGAAAAAGTAAGTAAATTTATATGTTACATTGGTCGTGTGAAACTGCAAGACACTTGAACTTGATATACTTGTGTAGATCATTGGACTAATTGGAGTCATGAGCAATTTGATGTAAACCCAATTTCATTTATCCAATGTCCATTTATGCCGGCAGATTTAGCTGATCTTCTGAGAAATTCCTCCAACGTTTCTTCCATGTCGATCAAACCTGTTTTTCGTTCAATAAGAAAAAATTAGGTTTTTGCAAACTTGCTACACAAGTTAATATCAAACAAGAGAAAACACATACGGAGATCATAAACTAACTGACACCTTCGACTTTTGATTTGAAGTCAAAGAACATCAATCCATCAGAAAATTTGAAACACTGTTTTCAATTAGGAAAAATCGAGTGTATCCAAGATAAGGTTTCTTTAGCCCCAAACAATCAAGAAATTTATAAACTGAAATTACTGCATGTTCACATAAACTCGTTATCTTCAATCATCCTCATCGTCCTTATCACGAACCATCTTCAATTTCCTTCTACTAAGTGGGCTTTGAGTGAGGGAGGCACCACCAGCTACAGTGTCTGAGAGTTATCACCGGAATCTGCTAACTCGTCATCCTCTAGTTCATTATCTGCTGAAAGATTTGGATCTTTTGGCGATGAAGTACAAGGAGCATTGTCACTGATGTGTACATCCGTTTCAGATTCTCTACTTTCCCGGATGATGTAGTTTTGATCATTGTCCTCTTCTTCGCTAGTGGTAGGCACATGCAGACTAGTTTCATTTCCTAATTACAAAAAGTGTGACATTTATGACATCTTGCTTAGAAGTTCGATTTAGCTCTGAGTTAATCTTGTCTATAAACCTGCTGAGAAGACAAAATGAATGGAGAGTTTTACCTTTCTGTATTGTGTTCAGAATCTCCTGGAGTGATTTCATTGCTTGATCTTGTGTGCTGCTTGTTCTTCTGATTTTTCCTGCTCTTCAGAAGAAGACAGCTCTCAAGCAAAAATTAGATTTATCCTATTGGATCTTAAACTCATAAGATATATTGAATCATTTCTCGTAAGATATATATATTTTTAGTTCTAGATTGAAGTTGGCGTCGTTAAGTGTACTTGTATACAAACGTTTAGAATTTGAGAAGCAACTTTTGTTTTGCTATGACAATAGCGATAGCTTTTTGTCTTGACAAAACCATGATTTGGCTCAGATATGAAATAAGAATAAAGTTGAGATGCATAGTGAAGAAAACTGATATATGTAATGGGCATAATTTTTGACAAAACTAAAACCCTACTTCAAAACAAAATCATACTTTAGGGAAAGCAATTTTTGTAAAGAAAATAAACTGTTAAACCCACATGTTAGTTTTCGTTTATTTTGTAATTTATTATGTTTGGCCCGTTTAACCCCACCGCAACAACCCTAGCTCTCAACATAGCTTCCCTTGAATCTCTTTCTCTCTTGATCCTAGCGATCTCTCTTGTCCTCCATACTTCGTACTCTTCAGCTTCATTGGTTTCATCATCAGTTTCCACATCTTCCAATACCATGTTCTTCTGAATCTCTTCATCTTTCTTAAGTTCCTCAACTACTATTTGCTTTGTCTCTATCTTTCTCATCTCAAGTTTTGTCTTTGCTAGTTCCTTATAAGCTTGTTCTTCAGCCTCAAGCCGCTTACGCTCTATGATCGTATCTCTCTCAGTTTTTTTTACATAAAAAGGCTGGATCATGACATGAACATGCATCTCTTCTTCTGATGAATCAGTCTCGTATTCGTCTTCATCTTCATCTTGTAGCTCTTCTTCTTCTTCTACATCCTCTTCTTGCTCTCTTTCAAGATTCTTCTCTTTGATTCTTCTTCTTTCTTCCTCTTCCTTAGTCTCTTGATTGTTCAGTTCCTCTTCTTGATCTGTAGATATAATCTCAGCCTGTCTAATTCGCCGATGTTCGGCTATAACTTGTTCACGGTTTTCAGTTCTTGTCTGAGCTAAACGTCGAAGCCTTGAATCATCCTTCCAATCCAAAACAACCACGTTGTGCGTCGTAATATCTTCTTCTTTTTCTTCCTCAGCCCACTCTGGAGCTTTTCCAGGCCAGTATCTTTTCACCTTTGTCTGTCCAATCTTACCACGTAGCTTTTCCCTTAGAGCAATTATGGGATCACTCACTCCTGCCGTGACTGACATCTTTGTACTATAGAAAACTATAGATTCAACAAAACTGTGCAAAAGAAGCCCTAGAAATCGTGACGTGACAGAGGTGAAGAAGACTATCTACAGATTAGGTTTGAGTTAAAAAGTTTGTTTTGTTTTGTTTTTCTTTCAGACTCTTTATCTTTTTATAGGGATACATAAATTCGATTCCGATGAGAATAAGGATAATCTAATCTTTTCCTTTTTTATAATATGCAGCTTTTTCTTATAAAATAATTGCAACCTAAAACAAAAACAGCTTCTTAAAAAGGAAAATCCACCAACAAGGTTTTATTTGTAACTTGACCAAATCAGAATGTGAATGTACTCGTTGATCGTTGTATCTTCTGCTTCGTGCAGTGTAATTTGAATCTTTGGACTATGAGAGTCTCCCTAACCAACCTATATCTTACCAAATTTGAAACCAATGAATAGAAGAATTCTAAAACCAAAATTCAGATTATTTATGCCCTTGTCTAGATATAACTTGGCGACCAAGTATTCACACTACAGTTTTTTTGACCTACAAGTTCAAGTATGTTTTGCAGAATAGGTCCAATCTCAGAGTTGAGACTTGAGAGTCCAACAAAAATAGAAATCACTAAAAAATCAAAACATGAGCAAAAATAATTCAACCAACATTGGACACAACCTATTTCCCAAAAAGTTACAGTGACTGTTATGTTCTTTTTTAATATTCTATACATTAGATTCAACAGAAAAGGTTGGTTCTATGGATTTGTTTTTACTGTGAGATGTTACCTGAAACAATCTAAGACGAGACTTCTCTTATCTTCAGTCATCCTCATCAACCACCATCTTCAGTTTCCTTCTACTAAGCGGGCTTTGAGTCAGGGAGGCACCACCAGCTGCAGAGTCATCACCGGAATCTGCTAACTCATCATCCTCTAGTTCATGATCTGATGAAAGATTTTGATCTTCTGGAGATGAAGTAGAAGGAGCATTGTTGCTGATGTGAACGTCTGTTTCGGATTCTCTACTTTCCCGGGTGATGTAGTTTTGATCATTGTCCTTTTCTTCGCCAGTGGTAGGCACATGCTGACTAGTTTCATTCCTAATTACAAAAAGTGTGACATTTATGAGACTTACTGGTGAAATCAAGCTTAGAAGTTCGTTTTAGTTCTGAGTTAATCTTGTCTATAACTATAAACCTGCTGAGAAGACAAAATGATTGGAGAGTTTTACCTTTCTGTATTGTGTTCAGAATCTCCTGGAGTGATCTCATTGCTTGATCTTGTGTGCTGCTTGTTCTTCTGATTTTTCCTGCTCTTCCTGCAGAAGAAGACAGCTCTCAAGCATCAGTTCGAATCGTTCAAGAAACCAAGTTTGATCTTGAGGGGAGTCATTAGCAAATCTTGTTATAATATTTAGTTACCTGTTCTTGAAGGCTAGTAATGTTTCATCGTCGGATTTATCTGCTGAAGAATCATCATGGTCATCTTTCAGCATCATGCCAGCGTCAGACTTTTTACCACGGGGAAGACGGAGACCAAGTTGCTTTAATTTACGTGAAACCTGTGTACTAGTATATGTATTTTCAGAGCCCAATTCATTGGCAATCAAATAACAACATCGCTTTTGGTCCTTGAACCTGCACATAGACAAGAGTAGAAAAACAACGGAGTCAATAAAAGTCGTGCACAGAAAGAGTTCATGCAGAGGAGGCGAAATTTTACACTCACTTCTCGTATAGTTCCTTAATAAGAGCTTCTTGTTCTTTGCTAAAGGAACTCACTCTCTTTCTGGTGTTTCTGTTTCAAAAGCAGTAGAGGAGACCCGTTAAAATCCAAAACCAAATGTGTGAAGTTTCAAAATTCTGTAAAATCTAAGAGACACTCACGAAGGTTGTGCAAATGATGTTGCATCCAGGTGATCAGTATCACCACGCCGAAGCCTTTTCCTTGTTTCTAGACCTAGCTGTTTAAGCTTGTTGGTTACTTGTGCAGCAGAAATTCCACCATCAGGATCCAAATTTTCAGCAATAAGCCGGCTGCAATTTTTATCATCTTTGTACCTACAACAAAAATAATTATAAGCAACCAATTGAACCAAACTGTAGCATATCATAGCTCATATGCAGCAATCTGGGGTTTACAACTTTCAATACTCATAAAATCTAAACCATAAACCAATGCTTATACTACTAAATTAAGAAATAGTGCACTTTCTAGAGAATGATTTGTGTTATTTCCTTCACGAACTACTTCGCGCATCAAACAAAACATACCTGTCATATAGGTCTTTAATTTTTATCTCCATATCACCATCAAGAACAAGTCTTCGCTTTCTTTTAGATGGTCCTGCAGATATATCTTCCACCATGTCATCATCCTCACTGCAGCATGAAAAAATCACATGCGTTAGCAAATAAAAATGAGCAGTATCTCCAGCTGACATAAGGTATAAACACAATTATCAAAAAGGGGATATTCTATTCTATCAAATGAAACCATTTCTTACTTTTGAAATCCTTGATCATAAGAAATCACGACATCAGCTTCATCATCACCTAGAGCATCTGCTAAGCTTCTGCGAGCCCATCCTTTGTCTGATGATGTACCAAATTCCTCAGTTCCTGAGAACTTTTCTTGATTACCCATTTGTTTCCTTAGATGGCCAAGCTCATGCAACATATATTCAGCATTTATGTAATGACATTCTTTGCGAGTCTTTGAGAAGAGAATTTCCACAAAGAGAAGAGGCTGTGACTTCATTTTCTTCAACATATTTCTAACCAGATCTGTCAGGAAGGTAACTATGTTTTCATAGTCTTTGCAGGGACAAGCTTTCTGCTCATCAAGGATCTTATGGAATGTTATTAGCAATGACAGCTGTAAAATAAACCCAATAAAGTAGTAAGGAAGATGCAAAACAGTAAGAAATAAATGTATCAATCTGGGAGATTATTTATACACTAACCTGATACAACATGGGAGCGAGCTCCAAGTCTTCTGTTATCCTCTGTAAAATGCTTATTACGTGGTGATTCGTCTGTTTTGAGTTGCTTTTGTAAAATTTTAGCAACCAGCATAGGTTTTGAATGATGCTGTTGCTTGCAAAAGCAGAAATAAATGTGGAAACCTTAAAATCAACTTCATCTGTTGCAGTTTGCTCTTCGCCGTCAGAAGAATCATCACTGCAGCTAGACAGATCATCGACCACATTATTTGACTTCGGGGTGTGCGTTTGTTGAGTTTCATCAGTTTCAGTCTCTAGGTTCGATGCCCCTGGATTATTGGGAGGCACATCCATTGGTCCATCCTCCGTTGAAATTGCTGAATCAACCATCGGTATGCTTTTTGCTGTGCTAGCTTCGTTAGAAGTACTTGGATGATTTTCAGACACTTTATGCACTGTGGCCTCCTTATTTCCCATTGTTTTTCTCTTTCTTGCCTTCCTTGATTTTTTTGAAACCTGGGGCATGAAACAGACATTTCTGGTTGAAGTATTGCATTTATAACCCTTAATACATGTTAATAAGCTTTGTCTATCATCTAATAAGAGTTTCATATCCAAGCAGTTACATACCCTCAAAGTTCCACGCCCTTGAAGGTTTTCCATAAGGCCTACTATTATATGGATGCTTTCCACCAGATCTCCAAGCTCACTGGCAAAAACAAAAGTAACCACAAGCAAGTTAAATTTACAAGTTAGGTAATTGTTGTACAATCAAGAACATACACGTCCTGTCATTAAAATGAGCTTTTCAATTAAACATTTAACAAGTCAAACAAGAACATATGCGTCCTGTCACGATGATGATATATGTTCCAAGATTTACAAATTATATATATCACACTACAAGAATTGACATATCACTAATTGCAAGATACTACATGACCACAAGATTCTGGAATTAGAAGAAACAGAAGCAGGAGCCAACCTTTTAGGTTGCTTGTGCGTGTCAAAACTTCTCACCAGATTCAGGATGAACTGACACATCCCTTGATCAGTCTGGTCATAAAACAACTTATACAGCAAGATGCGGACAGTAAAAGCTTCCCTAGAGTCTTCAGGTAGCAATTTAATTACCAGATCTAATAAGCAAAGCTGCATTGAAAAAACCACGTGAACAATGCACACCATGAGTATACTAGTTTTTGGATAAAATGCAGAGGCAAATGTCTATCATTTCTCCATTTCTCTTTTTCATAAACCACTGATACATGCATATATCTAAAGTAAAAGATGAGCTACAAAACCATTTAAAAAAAAAAGTAAAGGTAGCAGAGGAAGAGTAGTAGGGAACTAGCCAGTAAGAGATTAAAGAATGTATATTGCATACCATGGTTTTCACTAGAGAGCCTGCTGCATATAGAAACTTAAAATCTTTAGTTTCTTTCAGACCATCAAATGCACAGCGCCATTTTGAAATGACAAGCAAAAACATTCTGTCATTAATTGTTGCTGCAATCGGCGCACAAATGTCACTCTTGGAAAAGTTTACTCCAGCCTTCTGGTTGGTAGAGAGTTCATAAGTTTCTTCTGTTCCTGTTGCTGGCTAAAAAAAAAAGCCAGGAAATCATAAAATTAGCGAGATTCAGCCTTGTCGAAATGAAGGAAAAATAAATGCATAGCAACTTCGAAAAATGAGAGACAAAACCAAAGTAGCTCAATTACTCACATTAGAAGCCAAAGACTTGTGAAACTGGAAAGAGGTGATGGACTGAGCAACTTGGAAGAAAGTAACAATGTCACTATTTTGAATGGAAGGATGCTCCTTTTCAATATCTTCACATACTGACTGCATCAGAACTAAGAGATATAGTACACTGGCATCAGCATCAGGGTAATTGAAACAAAGTACAAGCAAAAATTACTGATCTATTGTGTCACATACCATTATATCCTCCTGACATAAACTGATTGATAAAATCATGCAGCAACTTCAAAACTTTGTCATTTGTTACAGACATTGGTCCATGCTCCCAGACAATCTTATCTGTGGCTCCACGACCTTGCTGAGGCTTTAGCATTGTGCTCTCCGTAGTAGAAGGTACTCCCTTTAGTACAGCTTTAGTGCCATCCTGACAAAAATCTCATTCAAATTACAACATTTTACACAACATAATATTTTTAAGAATCATTGAGAGAAACAATACCATGGTAACCCGGGTGAATGTCCCACCAAATTGTGAATGACGCTGATTCATATTATTGAGCCTTGCAAGCTTTCTTTTAACTTCCTCCTCCTTCATTAATGTCTTCAAACTATCTACAGAAGCTTTTTTTCCTTGATCCAACTACCAAAACAAAACATAATGATCGACGTCAGCATCAATACCAAAAAAAACATGTTTACAATCTCAGATATCGTATTAATCCAGTTAAAACATTAACCTTCTCAGGAGCCTTTGCAACGAGCTCCATGTCTTGACCCAAGAGAATATAGTGATAAATCTCAAGCAGAAGTAAGTTATCATGCCTCAACAAACTATTAAAACCCTCAATAGTCTGAGTTATCACAAGAATTATGTCCATCACATTCTCACGAGACAGAACTTCGAGAAACTGATCCCTCAGTGACAAAAAGTAACAAGTAGACTCTCCAGCCTTTTGAATCGGAGATATATCATGAATAGCAAGTAAATTCCTGAATAAAGTAAGCACAAGCTGAACCAATTTCCAATCTTCCTCATTGAATACATCTCTGTAAATCACAAACAATATCATTTGCACCACTAAGCAAGTACTTAACACAATAAGAAACTCAATAACTTTTCGAACTTACAATTCTAAGTTCTCGAGAGGAGCTTCAAGCAAAGACACAATCACTGCAACAATGTTACTAAAAGTAATCGCAGATTTCAATCCCCATAAATACTCTAACTGCTGAGGAATATCATCTGAAGAAGGCTCTATTGGCATTGTGAGAAACACCAACACTTTAACTGAACAAAACAGATCACACACAATCTCATCAGAAAATTTACAAGCATCAAACTTTTGTTAAGAGAAAAAAAAAACTCAATACCTGAGTTTAAAACTAAGTTATGTTCATCTTGGTAATGCTCAATGATCGGAATCAAATCTTTAGCGACTATATTCCACGCACAGACTTGTTTAAAAACTTCTCTGCTCTCGGGATCGTCGCGTCTTAGAAATCTCAGTAAATCTTTTAAATTATCGAGACAGTAATCACTTTTCGAGTACCCAATTCTTCTTCCATCGTCGTCTTCCTCGGGAGCTCCCAGATCGCTGCAGATTACTGATAATCCCTCCAAATCCATCTTCTTCTTCGTCGAGATTCTCTCCTCCACATCCATCTTCTTCGGCAGAATTCAAAAACGAAAACAAACGCTCTATGGAATTGACCAGAGATTACAGCGAAAATGATAAACTTCGAATCAAAACTGAACAGAAGAAAAAAAAACTAAGCTTCTAATCTCAGTGATTAGGGATCTTGTGAGCGCGAACAACTCCAGACATTTTCCCGCCATTTCGATGTCTCAAAAGACAAAAGCCAAAACACCGAGATTTGGCCCACATGGTCTTAATGGGCTTAGAAATTGGCCCATTAAAATCGAATTTAAACGCCGTCGTTTTGAGTTGTGTCTTATTTTGTTTAAAAATTAATTATTTTCCCAACTACTTAATGATTTGTCACGTTTCGTCGTTTCGATAAGAACTAAGCAAATTCTTCGTCTTCGTAAATTCCGCCGAGAGAAACCAAATCCTTCACTAAAACTCTCTGAGCTTTCGACCTCTCTTTCTCATTCTTCTACCACTTCTCACCTCTCGAATTCATTGATCCTTCTCTTCAGAAACAGAAATGGCTCAAGTGGTTGCCACCAGGTCAATTCAAGGCTCGATGTTGTGTCCCAACGGTGGATCTGTGTCTACAAGATCCGAGAAGCTATTAAAGCCGGCGAGTTTTGCTGTGAAGGTTCTTGGAAACGAAGCGAAGAGAAGTGGAAGAGTCTCTGTAAGAAGCAGAAGAGTGGTTGATACTACAGTGAGATCTGCTCGTGTTGAAACTGAAGTAATTCCAGTTTCTCCTGAAGATGTGCCTAACGTATGTGTAAGCTTATCTTCTGTATTGAGAATAATTTTTGAATGTTGCTCTGTTTTCTCTTTCTGGGTTTTGAGTTTTGTAGTAGTTGAAATAGCATTTCAATTTTATTTTCACCAAAAACTATCCATTTCAATTTGATGTTGAATGAGACAGTATTATAGTCTGTGATTTAGGGTTTAGTGGGAATGTTTTGTTGCGTTATGTAACTGTTTCAATCTGTAAAATTGATTTTTTCTGTCTTTTTGTGAGCTGATTATAAATTTGTTGTCTTCAATGTGGATTAGAGAGAGGAGCAGCTTGAGAGGTTGTTGGAAATGCAGCAGTTTGGTGATACATCGATAGGGATGTGGTCGAAACCGACAGTGAGGAGGAAGACAAAGATCGTTTGCACCGTTGGTCCGTCGACCAACACACGAGAAATGATATGGAAATTGGCTGAAGCTGGGATGAATGTTGCTAGGATGAACATGTCTCATGGAGATCATGCTTCACATAAGAAGGTTATTGATTTGGTTAAAGAATACAATGCACAAACTAAAGACAACACCATTGCTATCATGCTTGACACCAAGGTTTGTTTTTGTTTTTTCGTTTGTTTATTTGCTTGAGAGTTTTTTTATGTCTATGTGTCTTTGTTGACGATTAGTTTCGTTGTTCATATAGGGTCCGGAAGTTAGGAGTGGAGATTTACCTCAACCAATTATGTTAGATCCAGGTCAAGAGTTTACTTTTACTATTGAAAGAGGAGTTAGCACACCAAGTTGTGTCAGTGTTAACTATGATGATTTCGTCAATGACGTGGAAGCGGGTGACATGCTTCTTGTTGATGGTATGTAGATCTTTAGCATTTGGTGTAAAAGGGTTTTAGATCTTCTTGAACATGCCTTTTAAAGGGATCCCATTGATGAAAAATGCACTTGCTTTAGTCTTTTCCAATATATTGATGGCTCTATTACTATGTTCTAGGTGGTATGATGTCGTTTATGGTGAAGTCTAAGACCAAAGACTCTGTCAAATGTGAAGTTGTTGATGGTGGAGAACTTAAGTCAAGGAGACATTTGAATGTCCGAGGAAAGAGTGCAACATTACCTTCAATCACTGGTTCGAATTTCTGTTCACTTTTTCTTATTGCTTTGGTTGAATTGTTTACATATTTAAGTCTGAAAGATCTTATTCTGATGCTTATGTTTTGTAATTATTTTCTTCTCGCAGAGAAGGATTGGGAAGATATTAAATTTGGAGTGGAGAACAAAGTTGACTTTTATGCAGTTTCCTTTGTCAAAGATGCTCAAGTGGTACACGAATTGAAGAAATACCTTCAAAGTAAATATGTGGAATCCTATCCTAAGTAAATGATTTGCCTATGATTTATCATTTTGTTCTAATCTTCAGATTATTTTGTTACAAATATTTGCAGATTGTGGTGCTGATATACATGTGATAGTGAAAATTGAAAGTGCAGACTCCATACCTAACTTGCATTCCATTATCACAGCATCAGATGGGGTGATTTTTTCTGTCAACCTTCTCCATTTTGTTCTTCTTACTTTTATATGTAATCTCCTTATGTGATAGCAATTGATTGGATGTTGTTTTGTGAAAACAATATATATTCTGGTTGGAATGGCTCTTGTGCATGTGATTGTCTAATAAGATTTGTGTATTGTCTTCCAGGCAATGGTTGCAAGAGGTGATCTTGGTGCAGAGCTTCCAATTGAAGAAGTCCCCATTCTTCAGGTTAGTACTTGCCTCTCATTTAAAGATAAACCAGAGAATGAGTTTTGCCATTTTCACAGATTTAGAACTTCTTGCAGTTAAAACTCTTGATTTAAATTTGTTATACAGGAGGAGATCATTAACCTATGCCGTAGCATGGGAAAAGCTGTTATTGTTGCGACTAACATGCTTGAGAGTATGATCGTTCATCCAACTCCAACCCGGGCAGAGGTCTCAGACATTGCTATCGCTGTTAGAGAAGGTGCTGATGCGGTTATGCTTTCAGGAGAAACTGCTCATGGAAAGTAAGTGGCAGTTTATTTTCAGCTAATCTACTGATTTAGCTTATAATGGTGTTATGCTGGAAAGCACTGAAGGTTTATATGCACGAATCTGAACTTTACATGGTATCAGGTTCCCATTGAAAGCTGCTGGGGTGATGCACACGGTTGCATTGCGAACAGAAGCAACCATTACCAGCGGTGAAATGCCACCTAATCTTGGTCAAGCCTTCAAGGTAAGCCGTGCCTGATTTTCTTCTCTTGAAACTCTGAACCATTGAGTATTTATGTAGGGTTAGTCTATTTGCTATCTAATCCGTGCTAACAAAACATTTTCTTATTGTCTACAGAACCATATGAGCGAGATGTTTGCATACCATGCAACCATGATGTCAAACACACTTGGAACTTCAACTGTTGTCTTCACCAGAACTGGTTTCATGGCCATTCTGCTAAGTCACTATCGTCCTTCCGGCACAATCTATGCCTTCACAAATGAGTAAGTATTCCATGTCTATTCTATTAGAACAATGACTGTGACAAGTGTTATGTTATAGGAACTCACTGTAGAGGTTTTGCTCTGTAGGAAAAAAATACAACAACGATTAGCATTGTATCAAGGTGTATGCCCCATATATATGGAGTTCACAGATGATGCAGAAGAGACTTTTTCTAATGCTTTGGCTACATTACTGGTAAGTTCAATGCCCCTAACTAAATGTAGCTTTTGCTAGTATTTCATTGGTGCTAAAGAGTTGAGCTGGTAAACTTTGGATGACACAGAAACAAGGAATGGTGAAGAAGGGAGAGGAAATAGCAATCGTACAGAGCGGTACACAGCCAATCTGGCGATCTCAATCAACGCATAACATCCAAGTCCGCAAGGTTTAAAGCTTCTGTCTTTAATATGTAGAACCGGGTTTTTGGTTAATTTTCGTTGCATGTTTCTTGTACTCTTAAAACTTGTTGTTTGCTGTATCTTCTTCAGTTTGCTTTACTACGATTATGTGTTTTTGGAGACATTATTAGCTCAGTAACTGTTTGTGAGACAGATGTTAACTTAGATGAGTAATAAAGTTGTTAGAATCCCCTAATACACACTTAGTTATGGCAACATTACCGGTTGAATTCATTTGTAGGAAAATTACTAGAAATATGGGAACAGTACACTAAACAAGCTTAAAGTCAAGAGATTGTAGAAAATTCAAAAACAAATCATAGATAGGGATTTGAGACACGTCCTTGGACTACTTGGGTCCATGTGTCATTTACTACCTTTCTATTGGTCTAAACTCATTTGAGAAAGATGAATAACGATTAACGACCAAGAAGAAACTGATCCTTATGAACTAAAGCTCAACACTTTAAACAATCTCTAAAAACAGTCTCTTCAAAGATGAAATCACATAATCACAATTTTTTTTCAGTTTTGGACATCAACAACATATGCTTGTAATCAATTCCGTAGACTTTTTGAACTTTGAAATTTGTTGGGCCCTTTTTATTGGACTTGGGCCGTCACACCATGTCCACCTTTACGAGCAGGCTTTGGGGATACGGACGAGGTAAAGCGGGCACATGCATTGAGACAATATTACTCTTTTGAACAAGAAAATATTTGAGCTTTAAAGTTGGAAGTTATTTAGTGGAGAAACGATCCCACAAAGACTTGGTGGGCAAGGTCATGAGGGTTTTTAGATGGAGGAGATAAACAAATTCTTCTATTAGGAATTTCTTGCTTTCCCATTACGAACATAATCGCTATTCATGTTGTCTCTGCTTCTCAGCCGGAGCCTCCGCCTTGTGAAACCTGCGACCGTGAGATCATCTCTTCTTCTGAGCCTCTCTAATGGCTTCTCAACTTCCTCGCTGCAAACTCCTCCTTGTTCCATCCTCCGCGCTGAACCTTGTGGAGAGGATCTCGGCAAACTCATCATTTTGACTGCTACTGGGGAGCTCAACACTTTGGATAAGAAAGTGCCATTGGAGTTGATGAATGAAATGGTAACGATCGGGTCATCTCATGGCTGGGTAGCTACTTTGAAGAACGGTGGAATAGTGCGTCTCCAAGACGATCTAAACCCGGCTGCATCTGATTTAGATCCGAAACGCATTCCCCTGCCTCCTCTTGTGACTCTGCCTTATTGCCAAACCCAAGTTGTCACCAACGTGGCCATGTCCTCATCTTCTCCTGAGGATGAAGACTGTGTTGTGGCTGTCAAGTTCTTGGGACCTCAGCTCAGCTTATGCAGACCAGCTCAAAGAAACTCCGAGTGGACCAACATCAGAATCGAAAACCAATGTTTCTACTCCTCCCCTGTTATGTTTTCCAAGAAAGATGGCATGTTTCGCATTCCCGGATCCGGAGGTCACCTCATTGGATCGTGGGATCTCCACAAACACAAGAACAAACCCAAGATTCAGAGGCTGCGATTCAAGAACCTTCCCGAGCTCACCAAGACCAAAAGGGAGCTTTTGCATTCGTGTTGCACAAGCCAACACTTGGTGGAGTCAAGAACTACAGATGAGACTTTCTTTGTTAAGTGTTACAGGAAGGCCACATCCAGTGGCGTGGTGAAAATGAAAAAAAAAGCTGTAATGGTATTCAAGCTAGACGAAGAAGGAAACGCTGTTTACACTCAAGACATCGGACATCTCTGCATTTTCCTCTCAAAGTCTGAACCGTTTTGTGTCCCTCCTAACTCCATTTCTGGCATGTGCCCTAACATCGTCGAAATTTTGGATGTCGATGAATCCGCCATTGTCGGGCTGGATGAGTCCTCCCTCTTTAGTTATAGTTATACATTCCGGGCCCCTTATCATATTCCACCACAAAATATATTAGACTAGTTTAGTTTGGATTATGAGTCTGTCTTTCCTCCTAAACCATCTTTATGTATAATCTCTGTAAGATTGATAAGCATATGCTAAGATGCTCTTGGAGTTAATTTGCTATCATCTCTCATAAGTCTCCCAACTAATTTTGTTTAAACTTTATATCCAATTAGCAGCAATATAATCATTCGTTTAAGGAATTTGTCAAAATTAGAGACAGTGTCCCTTTGTACTTTCACAATTGTAGCTTAACGTCTTGTCTTTATCAACTTTCTTCTTAGCTTAAGAATCCAAAAGTAAGTTTAAGTGTTTGTGACTTTGTGTTTGGAGATCGTGTAGGTTTGAAAACCAAAGCTGATAAGTACATAGAATAGAATAGTGTGTGATAAAGAACCCATTTAATCTCTTCGAATCTGAGTTTAACTGACTGATTGACTGAATCATATTACTATGTTTCTAATGTAGAAGTCTATTGTTCTTGCTTATGTATATATCATCAAAATGTAGATATTTTTTTCGAAAATTATGTCATGACCAAAATTTGTTTAAGACAGAACCAAACATTTTCATCCTTTTCAAAAGATGTGCTGTCTTTGCTTTTAACTCGCAATCATGAGATATAAACCAAAGTGTTGACCAAAAAAGATATACTATAAACCAAAGTTTGGAAGTTTCCACGGAATACTTGTTGACATAGTTTATGTCATGACCAAAAAAGATAACTTCCTTTATCTATTTTGTACTATAAACCAAAGTTTGGAAGTTAATGATACTTGTTGACATAGTGGAAAGAGAAATATCCAAATACTTGGTGGAGATGGAAAGCTTGGTGGGCAAGGCCATTCCTCTGTATTAATAATGGAGGGTTTTAGGTTCAATTAGGAACTTTTTGCTTTTACATTAAGAACATCATCTTATTCATGGCTCTACTTCTCAGCCGGCGGCTCTCGAGACTCCGCCTTGGGAAACCTGTGTTTGTAAGATCTTCTTTTCTCCACTCTAATGGCTTCTCAACTTCCTTGCTGCAAATCCCTCCTTATCACGTCTTCAGCGCTGATCCTTGTGGACCAAGATACCCGGGTCTCGGAAAACTCATCATTTTCAAAGCTAATGAATATGACAGCACTCACTTGGAAAAGAAGGTTCCAATGGAGTTGGTAGATGGAAAGGCCATGGTAACGATCGGGTCATCTCATGGCTGGGTAGCTACTTTGAAGGACAATGGAGTAGTGCGTCTCCAAGACGATCTAAACCTGGTTGCATCTGATACACATCCGAAACGCATTCCCCTGCCCCCTCTTGTAACTCTGCCTCATTGCCAAACCCAAGTTGTCACCAACGTGGCCATTTCATCTTCTTCTCCTGAGGATGAAGACTGTCTTGTGGCTGTCAAGTTCTTGGGACCTCAGCTCAGCTTATGTAGACCAGCTCATAGTAACTCCGAGTGGATCAACATCAGAATCCAAAACCCATGTTTCCACTCCTCCCCTGTTATGTTTTCCAAGAAAGATGGCATGTTTCACATTCCCGGATCTGGAGGTCACCTCATTGGATCATGGGATCTCCACAAACATAAGAACAAACCCAAGATTCAGAGGTTGCGATTCAAAAACCTTCCCGAGCTCACCAAGACCAAAAGGGAGCTTTTGCATTCGTGTTGCACGAGCGAACACTTGGTAGAGTCAAGAACCACAGATGAGACTTTCTTGGTTAAGTGGTAAAGGAAGGCCACCACCAGTGGCGTGGTGAAAATGAAAACAAGAGCTTTAATGGTCTTCAAGCTAGACGAAGAAGGGAACGCTGTTTACACCCAAGACATCGGAGATCTCTGCATTTTCCTCTCAAAGTCTGAACCTTTTTGTGTCACTGCTAGCTCCTTTCCCGGCATGTGCTCTAACCAAGTCCACACCTTGGATGTCGACGAAAACGCAATTGTCGATCTGTCTGATTCCTCCATCATTAGTGGAATTTGTACTTTCGGGGCCCCTTACTATATTCCACCTCAAAAAGTTGACTCTTAGGCTGGAATTATGTCCCCTAGTGCTAGAAGAGTCTTGTCTTTTCTTAAACCTTTCAAATATCAAATCTATTTTATATATTTTCTGTGAGATTGAGATGCATATGCTCTTGGATATAGCACCTTTTGACACATTTTGTAATATCTGCGATGACTCATCTTCATGATCAGATATATGTGATGAACTAGAACTCTGTTCTTTGGAAAAAGGTTCTTTTCCTACCTTTGCTGCAGTTGGAGAACAAAGTTGACTTATACAGTTTCCTTCGTCAAAGATGCACATGAATGAGTAGTTGAGTACATCTTGTCCTAAGTCAACGTATTGCCTAGAATCCTTTGTGTCCTGAAAAGTAGATTTGACTTAGATCTCCCAAACAAAACGAATGTCTTTTGTTTGAAATTGGAACACAAAATGAATCACTCATTCTTGTATTACTATATGATTTTGTAATAAATACAATGAGACTCCATCTATATATAGGGTTTGAATACTAACTCTAACAAAGAACATCCCTGTTCCACTCCAACTATACTTATTCCCATTTCCATTCTTAATGATACATTTCATTTTCCCATTTTAGGCATCATTCTCTTGTAAGTGAGACTTCAGTGTAGTCTTCATCTCCAGGTCCGACTCTTTAAACGGGGAGAGAAAGTTTACCTAAGAAGAATCATCCTGAAACAAAGCCTTTGGTACTGAACTACGAGGCAAAGTCTCACACTCATAGCCATCTTTGTTAGCAGTTCGTGTTCGTTTGGTCTCTATTGTTGTCATTGGTGTCTCACATACTCTATCATATTCCACTGACCTTTGCTCCTTCTTCCTTTTCACCATTCTCGGTTGCTGGTCCGCCTTGCCTTTAGAGTTCTTTACTTGTTTTGGTGCCCAAACTCTACAAAGATCAGGCATCCAACTTGTGAAACTCGAGAATCTTCTTGCCCTCTCCCTCATTTCTTGTGCTTCAACCTCTTTCTTAGCTTCTCTGCACTCCTCAGTGTTTTTCTGCTTACTAGTACCAGGAACATCTTCATTTCTTTGACTATGATGATGACTTTTGAAATTGCTATGGATATTTTCTCTCCCTGATTGACTACTGTCTTCATTGTTCATGAAACTATCTTCAAGATCCTCATCAGTGAACATGAGCAGATCCATCTCTGTATATATTATATTGACAGCTTCTCCAAGAACATGATGATACCTGAGAAGGGCCAAAAGTCAGATGCATTAGCATGAATACACATATGACCAAAACAACAATATAAGTTCTGAGAATGGCATTATATACCTGGCTTTTATAGTTTTGTCGACATACTTATCAAGGCTCCACTCACCAAAGAATCCGCCATCTAACTTACACTGAATGCCCTCAAGGAACATGCATATCTGTTTTGCAAACTTCTGTGTCACAGATTCTTCACTTCCCAAACCTATCTTACATCTTAGAATCTCCATCCTGAAAAGAATCTGCAGCTCGTATCTTATAGCTAATTAAAGAAAACAGAACAACAATGCCAAACAATTCAGCTTAGATAAATGAAAAGAAAGCATCAGTAAATAATACCAAATCAAAGCATAAGAATAAGTTGGCTACTGTAACCAAACAGAAAATAAAAGGATACTCTCTAACGATGCTACTGGGTGCAGCTTCATCAGAATTCCGCTCACTTGCCATTGATGATGAATCTTTCTTTTTGAACTTAGCAACTAAATCTTTCGGATCTTTCAGTAACATCTTGGTTAGCTCGTCAGTAACCAACAAGAGGGTTCCACTCTCACAGCTATAGTCCTTCTCAGCTCTTTGAGAGGAGTAGAAGACACAGGACTTGACAAGCCGCTCGGCCAGAGCTGACAAGTCTATTTCCTCAGACTCAATCCCTTGTTTGATTTTACTAGGAAGACTAGCGAAGAAATTCTCTGATGACTCTGATGCATGAACAGAAGCATCATTTTCTTGCTTTCCAGATATACGATTTCCACTCAAAGCAATGTCCTCTTCAGCTACAGGTAAAGAAGAGCTAGCCTTTTCTGTCTCTTCAGAGGAGTTATTATTTTCCTCAATCGGATTTGCTCCCACATCTTCCAATGCATTGCAATAACTAGCCACGGATAAGCTGCAGCCTCTGGGTTTACTAATCTGTTTCATCCAACATTTCAGAAACTTAAATTTCTTCGACTTGCTAAACTTGGAGAAATAAACATCTTCTAGATCTATTTGACCATAATCTTTCACTGATCTGCAGAACTCCTCCCAGCTAATGTCATTAAGAGTATTTTTTCTTGGTTTTCTTTTATATTCGCTACAACTGACTTTCTTCCTACTATCTTCATGATCCACAGTTTGAGGAGAGACTCCATTCTCAAAAACACAGACTAAAGCTGACGAGAAAGTGAAGGGCTTGAGGATTCCTGTCCGCAAACTACCATTGCTATTTGAAAAAGATACCAGTGCTGAGTAACCTTCCCTATAGAGATAACTTAATATTATCTGCCAAATGGGTGATGATCTTTTCGCTACTTTCTCACCTGTCTCCTTCACTAATATCTGAAGAACCCGGTCTGCCCAAAACCCACTCTCCTGCTCCTGATCTTGATCAGATTCCTGGGAAACTTCATGAACAACAAAAGTATCACAAGTATACCTCTCTAGTTCAATAAGATCATCACACATCCTCAAGGCTTTAATACTAAGTTTGGTAAGCCCACCACAAAACTGGTCAATTAGAGAGTCCTGATTGACTGGCTCAGACCCACTAGCTAAGTTGATAAACTCATCACACCTCTTCCCACTAGAAATTTCAGAAGAAGAAAACTCTAGCTCACCGCACTTGCATTCCATAGGTTTACCATTAATATCTTCAATCTCAAGACTGGCCTGAACAGTAAATTCCTGACTAGTAGATAGCTTTGGGCAAATACCAATTGCTGGATATATTAATCCAAAGGGAACAATTGAAGAACCAAAAACAATTGAATCCGTAGAACAATGCCCCCAACCCAATTCTCTAATCCCACTATCGAAAAACCCAGACTTCAATCCCAATTCACATCTTTCACCAAATCCATCTTCAGATTTTACATCAATCCAGCTTAATTGAATATCTCTATCATCAAATAACTCATTCACACAATAAAAAATCTCCCTCAACTTTGACTTGAACAAATCCAAGTCGCTAAAACACTTATCACCAGTCTTAACATCAAGAAACTCAGAAACCCAATCCAAATCCCTAGAAATTGGGGAAAACATCACGACCAAATTCGACCTAACGATATCTACCCCACCATCAGTAAATCCAGGAATCATACCTATCTCCGGATCTCGAACCACCGGCTCCCAAGCGTAATCATAAACGATCTGTCGCAAATTCGCCGCGACATTAACCCCACGAGGCGATGTCGCCGCCACCGTGGAGCTAGATCGAAGTTCACATCGTTTAACCGCGTCGATGGCGCGTTTAAGAGAGACAAGTGTAGGGTTAGGAAGGTCAAATGAAAGCGAAGAAGATGAAGTTGAGAGTGAAGAGAGCTTTGAGGAAGATAAGAGAGAAGAAAGAGAAGAAAAGAAGAATTTGAAAGAGAAGAGAGAAGCAGATAAAGGAGGAAACAAGAGAAGCTTCTCGGCGGCGGAGATCACGACGGCTAGGTATTGCTCCGAATTGGGTTTGACCAGAAGCGGATTAAGATCTATCAAAAGCACGAAACGCTGCGTTTTGGCGTATAACAAATCTCCAGCCATTGAAATGAAACAGAGAGAAAAGATTCGATTTTTGGTTTTGGGGTTGAAGAAGAGAGAGAGGAGGGGGTGAGCTATGAGGTTATGTTTTTGGCGGGAAATATACTACCACGTCATCAGATTGTAGATTTATTGGGTCTTACTACATCATAAGCCCATTTACTACATTATAACCCAACAAGACTGGTGACGTGGCAAAATTGAAGATAGAACAAGATTACGAAAACTTCCTCTGCTTCAGATTTTCTCGATTGATTTTTCCGGGAAAATCTGGAATTTTCGTAATCATGAACTGTGTTTCTACATTTGAATTGATTCCTTCAAGAGCTCTATTTCCATGTGCACAATCATCAATCCCTGCGAAATTTCTTCACATTTCGAGCTCAAAAGCCTCAATTTCTCCCAGATGTCGTAGTTTCGCTTCTTCTTCTTCTTCTTCCTCAATTCGGAGGAAACCTCTGACCCTAGTTCATTCGAAAGCGTCCGACGCGGAGGAGGTGTCGGATACAGAGGACGAATGGCTAAAGAAGCTACCGGAGAAGAACAAGCCACTGTATTCGCATAGCTTACCTTGTATCGAGGCATGGTTGAGGAAATTAGGGTTTTACCAAAGCAAAGACGATAGAGCTGTTTGGTTGATTCAGAAACCTGACTGGCATGCCCAATTATCTCTTGACGTTACAGATCTCTGCATTAGGTATAAAATGCTTGCAATTTTAAGTCTCACTGAGCTCCTAAGTTCGATTCTTGTATCGAATTTGGTGTATGTTTGTTTGTGAATGTGTAGTTAAAGCTCGTTGTTTTGACAATGAGGATATTGATTCTGGACAATGTTGTGAAGAAGAGTTTGTTTTAGCTTGGATAAGTATATGTATAGCATACTGTGATGAGTTAACCTCATGAAGATGATAGTGAAGTGAATACTAGTTCAGTATTTGTAGTGCGGAAACTGATTGTTATGTGGTTGCATCTGCTGTTGGTGATATCTTAAGTCGATGTTAGGAAAAATCTCGATGTTTAGTCCAAGGAGTTGAGAACTAGAAGCTATTTTAATGTTTCTGCATCTCCATCTAACAGACCAAACAAGTTGTCTCTGATCATTTCCTTTGGAGTTTCTGTGTGTAGTCTGCCAATTTGGACTAACTATAGATTGCTTGTAACACAGGTACTTGAAAAGCGGGCCGGGGAATCTAGAGAGAGACATGGAAAGAAGGTTTAGCTATGCGTTGAGTAGAGAAGATACTGAGAATGCCATACTCGGAGGACCTTAAAGAATAAAGAGTTTGTTGAACATCTTTTGTTCTTAAACTTTGCTTATGCTATTCAGTAGTTTTCCGTTATATGTTGCATTTGCTTGTTTGATCCGAAAACCATTTTTATCACGCTTCTTTAGTAGGTACGGTCTTTCAAAACTTGAAAAGTGAATGTGAAAATTATACGCATTTGGAACCAATAGGTATATAATCTTACCGCCACCCGATGAACCTATGCATTATCTAAGGCCTAAGCTATTACTTAAATGTGAAGCTTGGTGTGTAGGCATCGGCTGTGTTAGCATAATTCTAATTGCATAGAATGGACATACCATTTGCTAATCGATTTGCGTTATTGTACCAATCCACCATACGACCTTGAACCCAGTCTAGCTACCTTAACTGGTGTTGAGAGTTGAAACCAAACTGAAGTTTTAAAACAGCAAGTGGTGGGTCAAATGAAAACTATAACTTTCACATCTTCTGTTTCAAAACTTAAACAAGAACACACTGCATTCACATTAGTCAACTCAAATTAATGTAATAAGATTTAATACATCAAACTTAAACATAAGTTACATAATGAAGCAAAAATTAAAAGTGATATGTTACTCTTTGATTTATCAAATAAAATCTTGTTTCCTCATACTATAAATTCTAAGTTTCTTCCTATACCCGAAACCATCCCAAGCATCTAAGTCTAAAACAAAACCAAAAAGAAAAGGTAGAAAAAAAGATGGCAAGCAAAACTTTTCTCTCAATCTCTTTAATTGTTTCCCTTTGTGTTGCCATTTTTGTCACTCAAGGAGTAGCTCATATGCAAACACCACCAACGGTTCCAGGAATTTTCCTACCTGGCTCACCCATTGATCTTGTAAAATGTTGGTCGTCTCTCTTCAATGTTGAAGGATGTGTGCTCGAGATCGCCAAATCAATTTTCTCTGGAAAATTCGAAAATGTCGAAGCCGCATGTTGCAAGGCGTTTTCGACCTTGGATGCCAACTGTTGGCCCCATATGTTTCCGTTGAATCCGTTCTTCCCTCCTCTCCTCAAGGATAACTGCGCACGCATTGTCCCCAACTCCCCTACTCACAACTAAGAGCAAGAATGATTGTTGATCTACATTTTTAAAATTAGTTGTTAGCTCCAAAGTCTAATAAGTTTCAATGTTAATTTTCTTAGCAAAATGTGAACTCGTATCTTCGAAGAGCTCTTTATATAGGTTTTCTCAATAAAGTTAAAATTCATTTCAAAATTTTCCTCTTTTATAAACTCTTATAAATGTGTCTTGGTGGTTGCACAAAAGAGAAACATTAGAAAATCTTACCTCAAAATTTAATAACCACACGAACCGCATATGGATCCCAAATTTTGGTTATTTCCGGTTTAATTGGTTCAGTTCTGTACCGAAATAGTAGCGAGCGTTTTAACGTTATCCAGAACGAAGCAGAGTAACAAAGAAGGAAGCTTTTGCTAATCATGGCGATACTTTTTCGACCTCCTCCTTCACAATGTAGAAGCTTCTCTCCTTCTGTTTTCAACCACATCTCCGGAGAAATTTCATCACCATCTCGTCTCTCCTTGAAAACTTCCGGCGTCGAAAACTGGGTTTCACGTTTCCAGTCGAAATCTCTCAGTTTGGTGTTCTCTGGAGCTCTCGCTCTCGGTTTATCTTTATCGGGTACGTTTCTTTGTCCCTTATCACTCATAATTGAACAACAGATTCTTTGATTTCAATAACAATGTGTTGCTGAAACAATCTTAAATATCACAAAGTTAGAAGCTTTGTTTACTTAGCAATCTCAAGCTTGTGACTTTAATTACTTGTTGCATTGGCTTATCAAAGTCAGGATTTTGAAATTTCGGACCTAGTCTATTTTTCCACTTGTGTGGAACTATGAACAATGCAGATGAAATTTCTAGATTTTAGTTGTCAATAACTTTGAATCTCTTTCGCAGGCGTGGGATTTGCAGAGGCAAAAGTTGGTGTTAACAAACCAGAATTGTTACCTAAAGAGTTCACTTCTGTCATAGATGTTGCTGGTTTCCTCTCTAATGGTCAGGTATGCATGTATCAGCCATCCATTTTTTGAGGTTTGATTAAAGCACTTTGTTCTTGTTAATGTCATGTGGATTTGTTAGCTTATTCTGTGGTCTTTAGTGTATTTTTGATCTGAATGTTTTCGCTGTCTTTTGGTTTTCTTAATGCTGTTGTTCTTTGTGAATTACAGGAGAAAAGGATTGCTCAAGAAATCGCTAATCTTGAGAAAGATACAGGATTCAAGTTGAGAGTCTTGGCTCAAAACTACCCCGTTACACCCGGTATGATGTATGTTTTGAAAGTAACATACTTGATCTCCATAGGTTTTACTCGATGACATTTCTCTGTGTTTGAAACAGGACTAGCAATCAAAGATTTCTGGCAGGTGGATGATAGCACAATTGTTTTTGTCGCAGACCCGACATTTGGTAACATCCCAAACCTCATTGTTTTAAGTTCTTGTCAAGAATTGTGGTAGGCCTGATGGGGAACTGATTGTGACAACCGGATTTGAAACAGGGAACATCTTGAATTTCAATGTTGGGGCTACGGTTGATTTAGACATACCTCGTAGTTTCTGGAGTCGATTGGCTGGGAAATACGGCAACATGTTTTACTGGAAAGAGAAGGCAAGAAGGCAATCTAGATTAAAACCGATGATTGCCGCCACTTTTTCTGTTTTTTCTTATGTCTAAACTGTTTACAATTTTTCTTGAAACCAGGGAGAAGATGCATCCATTGAAGCTGCAGTGATGGCGATATCAAGTTGCTTACGAGAACCAGTTGGTCCAAATAACTGTGCAGAGATCCAATAAAGTATATGACCCCATAAAACGTATATGTTATTATCATTGTATAGATTGGCATCAAAGAGAGACAGAATATGTAAGAATGAATCCACGTCTTGTAACCTCTCTCCATTTTTCAACTTCACATCCTTAAACAACCACTGTTTCCTTCCGATCTTCTAGAAATGCCAAGTTCAAGCTTCTGAGCTTGATGGCGGATATGGCGTGAGCTAAGAACAGAGCATGAAAACAGAGTTTATGAATCTGCATTGTGTTTTGTGTTTCTCTAGTTGTTGGTTCAAGTGAGAGTAAGCAATATTGAAGTTGATACTTTCGTAGTTTAACATAAGCATCGAGTTTGAATTTTCAAATGGAGAAACAAAATGCTTTTTTATTGAAATTGAATGGAATTGTGACAGAAAGTGAATTTGAAAACACCAAAGTGAACTATGTTTCCTTTAACTAGACCAGTTTCAATTGGTACTTGTATCTCTTAAAAGTTAAAACAAACAAGTAGAGAAACCAAAATCAATAAACTGGAATAAGATATTTCAAGCTTGTAATAGAGAAACCAGACTGATGTTGAGAAAGAAAATTATAACTTGCACATGTTCTGTTTCAATTGAACAATAACACACCGCATTTTACATTAGTCAACTCAACTAAGAAAATTCAATACATTAAATCTCTAAATTGAGTTACATTTTGAGACAATAAAATTGATCTGTTACACTTAAAGTTACTGTTTTCATTTACAGAGAAAATCTTGTTTCCTGGTCCTATAAATTCTACCTTTCTTCTTATATCCAAAACCATCCAAACATCTAAACCAAAAAGAAAACAAAACATAAAAAAAGGATTAACAAGAAAGATGGGAAGCAAAACTATTCTCTCAGTCGTTTTGATTGTTTCCCTTTGTGCTGCCATTTTTGTCACTCAAGGAGTAGCTCAAACGCAAACACCGCCAACGGTTCCAGGACTTTTCCCACCTGGCTTACCCATTGATCTTGTAAAATGTTGGTCGTCTCTCTTCAATGTTGAAGGATGTGTGCTCGAAATCTCCAAATCAATTTTCTCTGGAAAATTCGAAAATGTCGAAGGAGCATGTTGCAAGGCGTTTTCGACCTTAGATGCTAACTGTTGGCCACATATGTTTCCGTTGAATCCGTTCTTCCCTCCTCTCCTCAAGGATAGCTGCGCTCGCCTTGTCCCAACTCCCCCTACACACAACTAAGAACAAGAATAATGATCGTTGATCTACACTTTTTAAATTAGTCGTTAGCTTCAAAGTCTAAGTTCTAATGTTAGTTTTTGTTGGCAAAATGTGAACTCATCATATCTTTGGAGAGCTCTATCTATGTAGGTATTCTCAATAAAGTAATTTTTTTTCCAATATTCATTCTAAATTTTCCTAATTTATAACTCTTATATACACGGCCGTCCAGATACACATATATGTATCATGTTGAACTAAACCCTATAGTCATGCCGTGTCAGTGAATTAAAGTCAAAACCCTAAATTGTTCTCTGCAAGTTGGAGAAGAAGTATAAGAAACCTGATCAACGGTTATTTCGTCTCGTTGATTCCGTCAATGTCTTCCCTGGAAAAGAAGAGGAAGAGGAAGACAACGACTAAGACGAATAAGAAAAAGCCATCTCCAAATCCATCACTTCCCGCTGATTTGCTAATAAGCATCTTCGCACGTGTCTCAAGATTGTACTATCCGACTCTCTCCTTAGTCTCCAAGAGCTTTCGATCTCTCCTAACTTCACCGGAGCTTTATAAGGCTCGGTCACCCTCGGGCCAAACCGAGTGTTGTTGTCTCTACGTGTGTTTACGGTTCAAGCCTTATTCGAATTCCACCTGGTTCACCCTCTGTCGGAAACCTGATCAAACCCTAACCACTGAGACCACTAAGAACAAGTCAAGTGGTTATGTTTTGGCCAAAGTCCCAATTCCTCCTTCTCCTCGTGCACATTTTTCGAGTCTTGTCGCGGTTGGTTCTAATATCTACAACATTGGAGTTTCCAAATCCATCTACCAACCATCCTCTAGCGTCTCTATTCTGGATTGCCGGACTCACACGTGGCGCGAAGCTCCAAGCTTGCGGGTGGTGCCAATGTCACTTTCTGCTAGCGTACTTGATGGAAAGATATATGTAGCAGGAAGCTACAAAGATGACTATGGCGATTCCGGTTCTTGGAAAAACTTGTTCGAGGTGTTTGACACTAAAACACAAATTTGGGATCCTGATCCCATCCCTTGCAGCGAGACTACATGCAACTTTCTTAACTGCAAAACCGCATGTATTGATGGAAAGTTCTATGTGGTGAGTGACGTGATTTACAGAGATGTGTGTGCTTACGAATCCAAGGAAGGTAGATGGGACTTGGTTGGACTTGGATCATATATGGAACATCATTTGTTTTTAGATTCTTGTTGTGATATAGACAACATTTGGTACTTTGTTTTTCAGGGAAGGTTTATATGGTATGATACTAAGGAACTACAGTGGAGATATTTGAAGGGTTTGGTAGGACTACCTAAGTTCCCTCCTAGTGCTCGTATTAGATTGGCTAATCATAGTGGAAAGATAGCGGTTTTTTGGGACGATGTGTTGCCTTGTAATGGCGGCGATAATAAGAAGATGATTTGGTGTGCAGAGATTGCGCTTAAAAAACGCAAAAGTTATGAAATTTGGGGGAAAGTTGAGTGGTTTGATCATGTGCTCACAGTCCCTATAACCTGTGTTTTCGAGAAGGTTCTTGCTGTTACTGTTTGATGAGTGCGTCACAAGGCTTGAACGTGTGTTCTTTTGGGTAATTAAATTTGACCAAACAGAATTGCAAATTTGTATTTTTATTATATCTAGTTGTGATTTGACTTGCTATTGTCCCACCATACCACCTTGAATCTGGTTTAGCTACCTTAAATGGTGTTAAGAGTTGAGACTTAAATCAATAAACACTGGAATGAGGTATTTCAAGTTTGTAATCATAAAGAAATCAAACTGACGTTAGGTCAAAAGGAAATTATAACTTTAACATCCTCTGTTTCAAAACTTAAACAAGAACACACCATATTTACATTAGTCTACTCAACTTTAATGTAGAGAAAATATAATATATTAAATCTAAACATGAGTTACATTTTGAAACAAAATTGAAGATTGATCTGTTACACTTGGAGTTACTTTTCGATTTATCAAAGAAAATCTTGTTTCCTGATCCTATAAATTCTAAACTTACTTCCTATATCCAAAACCATCTAAACCTAAACCAAAAGAAAACAAAACATAAAAAAGGATTAACAAGCAAGATGGGAAGCAAAACTGTTGTCTCAAGCTTCTTAATGGTTTCCCTTTGTGTTGCCATTTTTGTCACTCAAGGTCAAGGAGTAGCTCATACGCAAACACAGCCAACGGTTCCAGGACTTTTCCCACCTGGCTCACCCATTGATCTTGTAAAATGTTGGTCGTCTCTCTTCAATGTTGAAGGATGTGTGCTCGAGATCGCCAAATCAATTTTCTCTGGAAAATTCGAAAATGTCGAAGCCGCATGTTGTAAGGCGTTTTTGACCTTAGATACCAACTGTTGGCCACAAATGTTTCCGTTGAATCCGTTCTTCCCTCCTCTCCTCAAGGATATCTGCGCTCGCATTGTCCCCAATTCCCCTGCAAGGAATTGAAAGCAAGAATGATTGTTGATCTACACTTTTAAATTAGTCGTTAGCTTCAGAGTAATAATCTTTTTAATGTTAAATTTTTGTTGGCTTTATGAGAGCTCTATATAGGTTTTCTCAATAAAGTAGCAATATTCATCCAAAATTTTACTTATTTATAACTCTTATCAATGTGTCTTTGTCATATATATATGAGTAGTATAAACACAAATAATTTTGAGTTCCTTAAAACAGAGAAAAAGATAGGATAGATTAACATAGGAAATTTTATTTAAGAGTACTGTGTTTAAACAAAACTTAAATACAGTACTGTGTTTCTTGTCTTTTGGGTACAAAATTTTCCAAATCAGGCTGGTATGATCATATCACATACGTCTCCAAGCTAAAATTCTCTACAAATCTCTTACTTTTCTCAGTAGGAAGATAATGCAAACCAAGTTCTATTGATTCTTCTTAGTAGTGGGAGTGAACGATGCAGAGCTCTGAGTGAACGATTTAGAGCTCTGAATCTGATCATCTTTAGAAGTTTTGATTATAAACAGAAGTGTTTCCACAAGCATCGCCAAAACTAGTCCAAGAATCCCACCAGCAGCACTCTAAAGGAAAAGAAAAAAAAAACACAAATCCAAACACTCATGATTCACAAAAATCCACTTAACGGTTTCCAGAATTTGACAAAATGAGAGATACACAAAACATACCAGAGCGGGGTTGCGGTTAAATAAAGCTCTGAAGGAAGCGTATCCAACCAAATATCCAGTGAACATGGTAAGACCAACATGTAAACCTATAAAAATGAGTTTGCAAGAAAAACAAAATCTTCAGCGACCTATGTGTAATACATTTCCAAGAAAAAAGTAACCGAGCGAACATGCTTACCGAAACCGAGCTGGTCTTTGTACGACGAGAACGGCTCTTCGACTTGTTTCTTGGGTGTTATATCTTTAACAAGTTCAGCATATTCCTTCCTCTCTGCTATTTCTCTGAGCTTTAGCAATCTCAATTTCAGTTCTTCGGTCTACCAAGAGAAAAATCAGATCAAATTAAACATGGCGAGACAAGAAGACGTTTAAACATAGTTAGGGAAAACTTCATACAAAGGAAACCAGAAGCATCCTTGAATTACACTCAATAGAACCGCGGAGACGTTTCTTCGAATATGATAAATTCTTCCAATCAACCAAACAGAATTGTGCATATTTCCATGAATTTCCATATTTGAGTATAAATCAAACAAAACTACAATACACAATTTCCATGAATTTCTTTCAACTACCAAAAGACAAATCTCTTTTGTTGCTGGATTGTTCGAGCACAATCAGTCTCATCTATATTAATAATCTCCTTCAATGGATACTATTAGCAGCAGAAACAAAATCTAATTAGGTCAAATTTCTCCGCATTCTAGATTGAATGAGCCTGATGCGAAATTCCCCAGAAAAGAAAATTTGAAAGAGGATTTGATGTAGAATTTGAGGTTCGTGTACCTTTTCTCTGGGTTTGGGACTGGTGAAGACGAAATCGGAGCCGGAGCAAAGTCCCAACAAATCCGGTCTGGTCGATGGATCGGATCCGGTCCATAGAGCGCGGAGCAATCTGTACGGAACGGTGTTCTTCGAGCGAAGATCGGTAGCAATTTCTCTGAGTTCTTCGGAGAGATGACGATCTCCGGAGGCGAGGGCGAGAAACGACCGTATCGGTTCAGTGGCGGAGAGAATCAGACCAGCGCCATTTTTCGGGTCGGGTTGATCCATATTTGATCGGGTCCTAACACTTGACGTTGATCAGGCGGGTCGGTTTTCCGCGATGTTTTTAAGCAACGTCCAAACCATATTTTTGGATTAGGTCCTATACTTTATGACACTCACATATTACACCTGATTCACGCTCGCTCCCATTTTTTTGAATATATGAGTAGAATTAAATAATTTATTAAAGATGTTGCTCTATTTTTTAGTTACAAATGCATAAATTTACGTGTGATTTTGTGATACAGACATGATTTTCAAAAGATAGATTTTTAAGGTGTAAGTAATACTGTAATAAATTCAAAAATTACACTGAAAATTTAAACCTGAGAATTAAACAAAGTATTAGTTTTCCAAAAATACATATACTCCATCCGTTTCAGTTTAATTGTCGTTTTAGGATTTAAATTTTGTTTCATAATAGTTGTCGTTTTAGGTTTTCAATGCAAATGTTTGGTGAAAATTTCAGTTTTATCCCTACTGTTTTAATGTTTTGGCCAATGAATTTTTTTATAAAATATATTAATAAAGGGTAAAACAGAAAATTAAATGCTTTTCTTAATTTGTGTGAAAAACCTTAAACGACAACTAAAACGAAACGGAGGGAGTATTTGGTTAAATAGTGAAACAGTAAAAAATTTAAAAAAATCTAGGGGATAATTTGATTTAAGCTTTACGTTCAATTATTTTGTTTCAAATATTAAGTGCAGGTAAGATAGAATCCCTGTTCTAAAAATCTCCGCCTAATCCGATTACTCCGCGCTTAATCGCTAGGCCCACTCTATCCGCCTCGATTAATGACTAATCCCCTAAAGAAATCAGGTATCCGATTACTCTCAGCCTAATCCGATTACTCTCCGCCTAATCTTACATATCCCGATTATTTTTAGATTCCAAGTATAAAAAAAAACTTTTTATTCTTGTTATTCAATCATTTAAATTGGGAGTTTGTGATGTTTTACAATAAATTATGTTCAAACTTTAATAAAAATCATAAATTTGTAATAAAAATCATAAAAATTTGTCTCAAAAATATAGTTTTATATGTTTACTGTAATTATGAAAACAATATTAGATTAATATGTTTTAAAAATATTAAAATAATTCCAAAACTAATCTCCGATTAATCCTCGATTTTAATCCAATTTTCCAATTAATCGTTAGGGCCATACCGAACGCGCGACTAGCGTCTAGCAATTTTTCAAACGAGGGATAGAATGAATAGATTAAAGTTTTAGCACATCGGTAAAATCGTTGCTATTTTTTTCAATAAAGTTCGATTTCTTTTTACAGTAAACAAAAAACAAGAATCTTATCCGACGTGGCAATATTTGATACGTGGCGTTACCCTAGCACGTGTGAATTACTCGAATCACAGCTACGAAAGCTTAGTGTGGGGTATTATCGTAAATTTAAAATTAAAAAGTGAGTCAGCAGTAATAAACTAATAACATTCTTCTATTGGGCTGTACCTATCTTTTTTCCCTTCGTCTTCTCCAATAATGGATCACCATTTCTGTTATTTTCCCTAGAAAATTCCGCAAACCCTAGAAAAAAAAAGAGAGAGAAAGAAAGATAAAAAATCTCCATTGAAACAGATTGCATCAAGCGAGGGAAAGAGATCATGTATTTCTAATACAGAGAGAAATCCTCTGATCTCCTCTCTGATTCGATCGAGATCGCAGCATTTCCCTAATGAAATAAACCTAACGATCTCTGTTTCTTTTCCTCTTTGAATTTTGCTTCGATCTCCATATAAGAATGATTTCAAATCCAAGTTTATTGTCATACACTTGCATTGCGAAAGGAACCGTAATTCTCGCCGAGTTCGTTTCAAGGCAAGAGCCAGGAATCGAAGCTATAGCTTTAAGATGCATCGAGAATACGCCTCCTCATCATTCAATGTTCTCTCATACAGTTCACAAGAAGACATACACATTCGCAATCGACGATGATTCCTTTGTTTCTTTCGCGATTTCTGATGAAACTATGGAGAAACCTGAATCATTCTGGGTTTTGAATCGTTTGAGATCAGCTATTGAAGATCTGGTTAATGACGGTGGATCTGATGTTGAAACGTTGATTAATCCGGTTTCGCATTGTCTTCAATTGAAGCTTGATCCAATTTTCGCTGAGATTGTTGGTGTTGTTGATTTGGAATTGGATATGGATTTGGTTGGATCACCGAGGAGTGTAGCGAGAGAGAGTCGGAATCCGAGTATTGATTCGTCTAAAGGAAGAAGAGCTGCTTTGATGCCACTTTTGGGGAAGCCATTGAAAGCGTTGAAGAAGAAGAAGAGATTGCATAATGAAGGAAAAGGAGAAGATTCGTGTGAGGTTGGTTCGATTCAGGAGATATCAGAGAAGAATGTTGATTTATGTGGGAATGGTAACAATGGAGTCTTACGCAAGGAACTGAGAAATGGTTTGTTGAGTGATCATCATCATAGACAAAAGGCGAAACAGATATGGAAGAAACATGTTTGGGTTGTGTTGATGTTTGATTTCTGTATCTGTGCTATTCTATTTGGAATCTGGCTTTGGATTTGTGAAGGGTTTCAATGCATTGAAGGGTAAAAAAAAAGTATTCATTCATCAGTTTCTCTCTGTGTACATCTCCAAAATTCATATTGTTTCAATCTGCATCAACGTTGATCATTGACATCTTCTGGGTATTCGTTTTTTGGATCGAATCTGATCCCTTTTCTTTCTTTCTCTGTTTTTGTCAAATTCTTTTTAATCTTCATTATTTTTTAAAGTCACAAAAAGTGTTGTTTCCAGGAGGAAACTAGGTATAGGTTGAATCATGGTTTACATGTTAGTGATATGTTCATTGTACTTTGAAAATCATTCACAAGCAAAATGTGTGTTGTGTATCTCTTTTTTTCTCGTTTATCTTTTGCTGTATAATTCCATAAATGGTGCTGTGATTGAACGTGGGTCACACAGGATGGTTTCAGATCCAGTCACACGTTAATATTGTACTAAATATATACTACATTGCATCTATAGTCGGCGTATTTAATAATAATATTCCAAGGAAAAAACACAAAAGTGAAAGCGATACCAGTAGTTAACTTTTATGCTGTAAATCTGTAATAGTCTTAAGGTTTACAGTAGAAAGATGATTACATTACAGACATCATAAGTGCAAGAAGATGTTTTGGAAATAAGAAACAAAAGAGGGATACAGTGTCAAATATGTGTCTCAGTCTCAATCTCTCAGCCACAAGGTGTGAGTTTCTTGTTACCTGCACCACGAGGATTATCATCCTTCCAATCATCGAAAGCTCTAGCTTTCATTACAGCTTCCTGTCTTCATCATCATCTTCTTCGTCCTCTTCCTTTCTTCTCAGAGATTTATCACTGTACCATGAGGTGGTTGCTTCTTCAATGGCTTTTTTCGTCTGCTCTTGCCAATCATTCATTATATTCATCTCTGTTAATCCAGCATCCTCTATGCACATTGTAGGCATCCTGCAAAACAAAAGTTTAATCGCCTTTTTTAATATCAGAAGGGTATAAGATTTGTGATGAGCTTGATTTTGTGTTTACCTGTGACTTGGTTGGAAAACCTGAGCTATCATCCTCTCTCTCTGTGTAGAGAGCGGTCCACCCACGATGCTTGCTGGACCGAATATAAGAGGTTGGTGCTTGTGTTCGTGACCTTCTGATACTGAAGCTCTTCCTTCTAACACATCTTGTGCAAATGTGGCACAAGTGATTGGTTGTGCTGGGTTAGAGTACCGTACCCTCGCAGCAGCGTCTCTGTGCCAGGTTGTTGATGCTCTAATGACATTGAAAAAATTGGAATTTAAAAGTAAAGTACCAAAAGTTTGTCGGTCATCATTTTCCTTGTTGTCTTTGCAAGGCTGATAAAATGAGGAAAATGATAAGATGAGAAACAAACAGAAGTACTGTCGTGATAAAAAAAAAACTTAAACTGCAATGACAAAACTAGAAGCATGCAAACTTTAAGGCTATGCCATTCTTCTAACAGCAATAGAGTTAGCAACCATATTTGCCTCTTTAACCAGATACCTAGGTATTCACTAGGCTTTTTCTGATATGTATTTTGTTTTAAAATAATTTTAAGAAGGAAAAGAGACTTACTTCAAGCGAACGGCTATAGAAAGTCCAAAAGGCACTGCCACTACTATCGTAGCAATCTGGAAAATTAATATTTTGGCGACAAGGTTACAAGAAAAGACCATATAATATTACTGTAGCCATGAAGATAAAGTTCAGCATTCCCGTACCCCAAAACTCAGGGATGTGATCACAAATTCTGTTGCTTCATCAGCAGTAGTGATTCCATAAATAAACATTGGAGTTCCATCTGATTTTTTGCTCCAACCACTAAAGTATCTAGAAATAAAAGGGTTGTTAGGTCCAGGATGGAGCTGGAGATCTTAGATCTGACTGCCGAACATAAGCACAATGGGTACTTGTAAAAGAAGATAGACTTACCGGCCTAATCGAACACTACAGGCAACTGAAGCGAACAAAACGAAGGACCAGCTGGCAGAAATCGCAAGCCATTTCAGGTATCCCTAGTAAAACGAATCACATTTGATATATGAACAAACTAATCGCAAGCCAATCATTCATTATATTCATCTCTATGCACATTGTTGGCATCCTACAAAACCAAGTTTAATCGCTTTTTAAAATCTCTAAAGGGAATAAAATTTGTGATGAGCTTGATTTTGTGTTTACCTGTGACTTGGTTGGAAAACCTGAGCTATCATCCTCTCTCTCTGTGTAGAGAGCGGTCCACCCACGATGCTTGCTGGACCGAATATAAGAGGTTGGTGCTTGTGTTCGTGACCTTCTGATACCGAAGCTCTTCCTTCTAACACATCTTGTGCAAATGTAGCACAAGTGATTGGTTGTGCTGGGTTAGAGTACCGTACCCTCGCAGCAGCGTCTCTGTGCCAGGTTTCAGCTTTCTTTGTACGATCATCAAGAGCATCCCGAGAAAACCCATCCCTCCATCCTGATCAAAAGATCATAACAATTTTCTTCGTTTATATGTTTATCAAGTAGTTGTTAGCACGTAAAACTAACACCGAGGTAAGCTACCTTCAACTGTCTTTCCTTTATTGCAGAGAGCATTTCCTCTTATCTCTTTAGCATTTCCAACAGATCAATAGCCTGTAGCGAAGTTCAATCATAAGATAAAGCCTCAACTCGTGACAAATCATAGGATTCCAATAAATGATTTTTAGACAAACCTTACAAACAGCCAAGTTAATTGAGGAGAGCCAGGCCTGCAGAGGGAAAAGTCATAAGACAAGGCTTGGAAGAAAATGAAATTAGAGAAAGCAGCAAAACAAAAAAGTGGGACAAACCTCTCTCTCTTCTTCGCTGTCATCATCTGGAATATCATCTTCTCCAGATTCAACCGGAGTCGACAAGGCTGCTGCTTTAGTGGAACGTCCACGTCGCTCCTTCCTCTCTTTAATTTCAAGAAGCTTTGCCTCTGCAGCCTTTTGACGTTTGAACCGAGCTATCTATAAAGTACCGTAATCATGAACATGCAGTTCAAAATCCAAAAACCTTAAACTTCATTCTCATCAGAATATAAACAAAAGAAACAGGCTGAGTCTACCTTCAGAGCCTTTCGATCTGCAGGTGCACCGGAACCTCCTCGTGAAGAAGCCTCCAACTCCTCATCCGGAACAAGCTCCATTGCCTCACAGAACGAAAAGAACTCCTAGACACAATAAGACTATACATCAATCTCAAAAAATCAAACTAAATGCTCATTCACTAGCACTAGCATCAAAATGAAGTAACAACCTGCAAACAACGCAGAAAAAAACGTACCTTCAACTTTGCATACGAGGCTTTGACAATTTGAATCCGGTCTTCCTGTATGATTTTCTCCGTCAGGTCCGCAAGATAGTAAGGCACCTATAATCACAAGAAAATATATCCCTCATCACTTTATAGATATGTCAACTCAGAACACAAAATCTCTTATGATCCCCACACAGAGTAAGTTCAATTGAAGAGGCCACAATTCAAAATTAGCTAAAACTAGAAGCTAAAGTTTTTCACTTTCTGATCTTCCACACCAAACTAATAACAAAAGTAGAACACAAACTTACTACTAAAAAAATCCAAACAACAGAGACTGAATTGCATAGAAAGTTACCAAAAGATATTTGAGATTGTTGGTGCTAATATCTTCTTTAGTCTCGTTAGACGAAAACAGCGCCAGCTTCCCGATCATATCTTCGCACTTCTGAAACATCTCACATCCTTTCTTCACAACATCCTAACAAAACCAAAAACAATAGAACAAAGCATTTCCGGATATGCCCAATTCAGTAAACCTCTCGATCTGAAATACCCATTTCAGATACCCCTTAATCGAATTTGAATACTAAATAAAAGTTCGAAGCTTCCACCTGATCAACACCGGACTCTGAAGCAGCAAGATGAATTTCCTTGCTTGCTCAAATAGCGCCGATAAAGGCATTTCCTCCATAGCTAGACCACCCATCACAGACTAATAAGCAATTTCTCAAAAATCCTCAATGAAAACGAGAATGTGTCACCGAAATCGAGTATCTTCGAGAAGAGGATCGGTGAAGTCTTTGAGATTTTTTTTAAGGTTCCAAATCGAAATCTGACTAAGGGAATTTACTGAATTTAACTGCGATGAGCTTTATAAGATACGGTTGAGATCATGCCACGTCAAGTGAAGATGATAATTGAAAATAAATATAAGCCGTTAGATTTGTAGACAACCTCAAACCGACTCAGTTGTAAAAATCCAGTCAAAGATCAGGTGCGGGCGTGTGTAGTGTAAAACCGCACGTAACACGAATCTTGACCCATTGGCAACTCATGATTGGTTTTCTAAACTGCAACCGCCGGGAATGTGGTTGCGCCTATGGTCTGAAACTATGAATTATGAAGAATGTTTGTAGTTTTTAAAATGGATTTTGGTTTTGTGTTTTTTTGTTAATTTGAATGGAAATGAAATTTTCCTGATTTTTGTATGTGTTTAAGTAATACCGCACCAGCTGTATAACCAGTTCGGATTGTCCTAGTGCTATTGATTTGACCCACCTATAGCGGTAAACCTAGGAGGAATGGTTGATTCTGATACAGAAGCCAACTCAAATTCTCAAAGAAATCGATAGAGAAAAGAAGAAATAATCGAGCAGATTCGACAAAAATAAATAATCGCGGTTAATCAGCTGGATCCAAAGATTTAGGAACATCCAACAACTCATGAAACGAAAATGAAGAGGTGAACAGATTGAAAAAGAACTTATTATATATATGACTCTCACCCGTTTCATTTAACATAGGGGAAATGAATACAGAACTTAAATGTTAGACTCTAACACTCACACATTTCACACTACATATAGCTTGGAGAGGAAATGAATTGACTGAATTAACTGTACTATGATACATACACAGCACAATAATAACCATTATTTAAGCTCCCACGCACATGCACGCGGAGAACAACAGCCTGCTAAGCATCCAACGCTAGAGCAATGCTTCAGAAAGTGACCTGAAATGAGGATTGTATGTTCAGAGAAGTTACTTGTTAAATAAATAAGATATTCATGTGTGAATTGATCAGGAGATTAGGGAGTGAAAGGTTCTTACAGTAATTGCGCCTATATGGCAAGATACATTTCAGTTACGGTAATATTGGTTGACCGGGTAAGGGTAGCGATTGGCGACTTGGCTGAAAAAGTTTTAAAATATATGAAGTGAGAAATGTGAAGAGTAAAAGTTATCTAAAGTAGTTGAGGATCTTTATGAGCAGAACCTGAGCAATCCCAAAAGACTTGTCGTCACCCATTTTTTCAAGTCAAGCCTGGTGGAAGAACTTAAAAAGCCTGCCAACTCTATTACGATTATCTGACATAGAAGGAACAAAAAGAACGTAATTATCGTTTAGGGATATATATAAGAACAGAAGGAGAAGGTAAATGTTGTGTTCACCCCTACAGAGGACTTACCTGAGAGATGATAGTTGAGGTTATTGTAACGAGAAACATATTCTCTCTAAGGATTTGTTTGAAGGTTTGGTCTACACTTCGGATTTCAAACTCATTAAAAACCTGCATTATTTCAAAAAGACAGAGAATGATCAACATATTCGCATATCAACGCAAATTAAAAGTTTGGGAAAAATCAGGACATTACCAGGCAGAAGACGAAGGAATTGAATACAAATGTGTTCATCACTTTTTCCGCATTGCCGGTATGACCATGCTTCAGCTTCAGTAGCTTCTCAGAATTTATGAGTACCAGCGACAGCACTAGGTAAATTACCTGAAGGTATTTCATGACAGAAGCATTATTAGAGGTCTCCAAGTCGGTGTTTTTTGTCTTTAATCTAAATAGTTAATCAGTTATTCACCAAGGGATTGTATTTGCTCCTTGAAAACTATGAAGGAGTAAAAGATATTATCGGACATTAACCTCCACATAAAATCAATCAAGAATTTACCCAACATACCTGTATTATCAACTTGGACCACATCGCCTTGGTTATAAGAGGATCTCTGGAAAAAAAAAAGGGAAAAGAAAGGTATGCATATGTACGATCAGTTTGCGTATCTTTACGAAGAACAGATAGTGTGTTTTAACAAGAAGTGCAAAACCAACAGTTTCTTCCAAAACTTCAGCATCAATACAATAATGTCTCTTTCTAAGCAACTATCTTATTAATTAAATCTTATCATTGATCCTATTCAGATTTTGTACCTTATACCAACCGGTGGCTTTCCCATTAAGTGGTGACCAGAACTTGGTCTGTATGCCAACGCTAATGCTCCTAAGATGTCGATAACAAGATTAAGCCACAGAAACTGCATCAGTGAAAAGCAAAACTGGGTTAGGGAAAAGCAAAAACTGGGTTAGGGAAAAGGTTCCCAATCGTGGAAAAGCTGGATTATAAGATGATGAAGTAACAAAGGGATAACATTTAAGAACCTGCACGACGTTAAGTGGAAATGCGTCATAAACTACAACCTCAACCACACAGATAGCCAATGCTGATACACTGACAGTGAGCCGGAATAGGATAGATCTCTGGACATTGGTGTATAGAGATCGAGACCATATGATACACTGCATTATCCAAACAAGCCTCTAATATCTATCAGAATGATTTAAACGAAATTTAACTGCCAAAAGGTCAACGTTTGCTCATCATTTTTGTATGCATTCTATACGCCGCTACTGCCCAAGTTTGTCATTTCAACCACGCATATAATAAACCAACCTTGACAATCGTAGCAAAATTATCATCTAGTATAATGATATCGGAATTCTCTTTTGCTGCTGCGGTCCCTCCAACTCCCATTGCAAGGCTAACATGAGCCTGTGCAAAGAAACATGAATCATAGGTTGTAGTGATGATGGATATGTCTTTCTATGTTTACAATTCATATTCTCTTTGACATAGTGCAATAAGTCTTTAGAGTTTTAATATGATAACTACAGACCTCGCGTAGTGTCTTTGGATCATGTATTCCCATCCCAGTGGCTGCAACTATATGCCCTCTTTTCTTCAGTGCTTGGACAAGCAGAAGGTTGTCGTCGGGAGAAGATTGAGCAAACACCTTCATAGAGTAGTGTGTTAGTTTTTGGCTCAATCTAGTTCTTGAACCAGTCGGCTTATATAGACCTATACAAAATTTATGTCAAAATAGCAATCTGACCAACAAAGTAGTTTCCCATTAACACATTGGTGTACAACAAGTTCACTCAGCAAGGTGTCACAGTGGGACAACTGATACTGAATTCAGTTATCTTATCCCATGGTTCCACTCATCGATGTATCATGATGTGCACAGATGAATATATATGTTAAACCATAAATATAGAAGAATGGATTCATACTAAGATGTCTCCGGCGATCTGCTCTCTTTGTGGATCGGTTAGTTCACGAAATTGGGCTCCTGTCCTTATATTACGGCCAGATGCATCTGTCAGTATCCCGCATTCAATTGCTATTGCTTGTGCAGTCAAAACGTCATAGTCCATCACCATGCAAACCTGAAAGTCAACATATTCCACTTAGAAAGTAGACCAATAAAAGGGGTTGACCCAAAGAAAAAAATTTGCTTAAACATATTGTCTTCCGCAACAAATATTAAAGGTATCACTGCATATGATAAAGTACCTAATAGTCAGGTTAACAACTCAGAAAATATTACTATGCCAAACTCAGTTACAGATAACAGAAGTTCAGATCGAGTAGAAAATTTCTCTCCACTAATAAAAGTTCAAAAACTTCAAATGTCATGCTCATGCATGAGGAAGAATGGTAATACAGGCAATAACCAAAAAAAATAACCATGGCACCTTAACACTTCCGGAATTGCACAGTTGGATCGCATCCCTTGTGCCTGGCCGGCAAGGATCCTGCATGTTATTCAAAACATTGGATAAGTAATGATAATGAAAAGAATTCATTGGCTTTGAAGAAAATCGAATCAGATACCAATTCTTATTGATACAAAACTTAAGCTTTAGAATGAGTGCTGGAAATGTACCTTTATACCAATAATAGCCAACAAAACAAGGTTTCGAGGTTCCTTAATGGTTGTTGGAAGACTTTCCAGTTCACAAGGTTGATAAGCAAGTGCTGCACAACGCAATCCGTTGTTGCACATCTCTTCAATTGTTCCTTCAAAAAACTAAAGAGAGAATGGACTCTTATATAATAAACCAAACAAGAAATAAGAGTGTATTTTTTAATTAGTCATATAAATTCATAAACAAACCTTTCGTTTCTCATCATCAATGCCTCTGGGGTTATTGGCCCCATCCATATACCTTTCACATGAACTCAGAATAGTTTTTGCAGATCCTTTCCAATGAGCGTGGGCGTGTGCACCAATCTAGAAATAAATAATAAGAAGTAAAAAAAAAACTATATAAGAATCAAACATAGCATAAATATGCAGGCAGATTTACAGTCAAACAATTCCGGAATATCTCTGTGTTAAGTGAAAAAAATAGATATATATCTATATGTGTGTGTGTGTGCGCGTATATATCTGTTCAACAACAATATAGACAAGGTTACGTTACCTGTAGTGCCACGCCTCCATATTTCTTTTTTGGGCTGAATGGTATAGTATGACGGACTAATGATGCTGACCTAGCATGATTGAATTTTCATTCCCAACTACAAAATCGCATAACTAAGTGTCATTAATTATAAACTTAATCGCTATAGCAAGTAGTAACGTAAAATTAGAAAGAAACAAAACCTTATTCCCAAAGCTAAGAATAGCTTGTTCTGTTGGTGATCCATAAAGCTCTGGTTCAGTGACTCCCTATAATTAATTATGAACATACGAAGAAGAATTCATATTAAAATAATCATACTACAGGAATCTAACCAAGTCAACAGTGTGATCCAGGACACAATTACCGTTTCAAAAACAACACTGCCATTTGTGTTTTGGGCAATGCCTTCTATGATTAGTTCTTTAAGAAACGGGGGCAACTGTGAAACATTATCCATATCTTGCATTCTCATTCCTCCAGCCCAGACATCAACCAGACATCTGCTTAGCAGAAAATAAATGCTTAAAAGTGGGTACTCAAGAAGAATAAGAGGGAAGCAGGAAAGAGCAAATTGCATATAAAAGGAAACATTTGCCTGATTCAAAGTTAAAATTCCAGTTTTGATGACACAATATAGTTGTAACAGATCCCATTCTTTCAAATGCAGAGAGTGATTGCACCTGAAAAACATGTACAGAAGTTAAGCAATTGTTGATGCTCTAATGGACATTGAAAAAATTGGAATCTAAAAGTAGAGTACCAAAAAGTTTGTCGGTCCATCATTTTCCTCGTTGTCTTTGCAAGGCTGATAGAATGAGGAAAATAATAAGATAAGAAACAAACAGAAACAATTGTCGTGACAAAAAAAAAAACTTAAACTGCAATGACAAAACTAGAAGCATGCATTCTTTAAGGTTATGCTATTCTTCGAACAGCAATAGAGTTTGCAACCATATTTGCCACTTTTACCAGATACCTAGGTATTCACTATGCTTTTTCTGATATGTATTATGTTTAAAACAAATTTTCAAAAGTAAAAGAGACTTACTTCAAGCGAACGGCTATAGAAAGTCCAAAAGGCACTGCCACTACTATCGTAGCAATCTGGAAAATTAATATTTTGGCGACAAGGTTACAAGAAAATACCATATATCATTAATGTAGCCATGAAGATAAAGTTCAGCATTCTCGTACCCCAAAACTCAGTGATGTGATCACAAATTCTGTTGATTCACA